GGGGGGCTGAACATGTTGGGGGGCAAATGAGGTGCGCATTGGCAACGAGGTGCGTGAGGTCAATGAGGAAGAGAGTGAGAACACGAGCGCAGACGGCGATGAACGTCCTTGACGCGTCACGCGCGACGATTTGGGCGCTTTTGACTCGCGCAAATTTGCCAGCTCACCACCACCACCGTTCTCCACTAGCACAATATTCTCCTACTCTTGCCCTTTCCCCTCTCGCCCTCATCTCTGCTGACTCGGACGTCGGCATGAAAGCCGAGGTTCTGGACGACCTCGCCATGTGCACCTGCTGCTCCCGTAAGTCCACGCTCGCAATTCACGGCGCACGCACGCACCGCACCGCAACGCACCTACTCATACTTGATTTCCTCCTCGACGTGTTCCCCATGCTTGCCCTCCGCCCTCCGCCCCACGCCGCTCACACTAGAGCTGCCAAGTCGCAAATTCAGATACCCAACAAATCAGCTCGACCTGCTCCAGGTCTGTGGGGACTTCATCAAAGTTGTTTTCCGCTCCACGCTTGTGCAGTTTGCTGTCACACCCGCGCCCACAGCCCCGTCGGCGTGTTGGGCACCGGAGCTAATGGGATCATCAACGACGTCCATATGGACACCGTAAAAGCCCCTGGCATCGCTGAACTCAAGATGTGGGGGAAGGAGCTCGTCAACTCGCCTGCAGGAAAATCACCGCCGCCCAGCTCTGTGAGTCCCCCGTCTCTCTTCTCCCTCTCCCTCTCCCTGTCGCCCCCGGCCCAGTCTCGCTCTCTGCCATCAGATCTCCCTCCGATATCCTATCACGCTCGTTCACCGCCCTCTCCCCCCCTCTCGCCCCACTGCTTCTGGCTCAGCGCTCATCCAGACTCCTTCAGCCTCCTCAGTTACACCCCCGCCTGCATACAACACTGTGTGCGCTCTTTGACCAGTACGGGGGCTCGTCCAACCCGAGCACGACCAGGGTTTCAAGCTCTACAGTGGCGTGAACGCATCCACACCCTGGGAGCATGGAATATGCCGCGCCTTTGTCTGGCCCCGGCGCCCCTCCTCCCGTGAAACACCCCGGCAGCGAACGAGAGGACGACCGAGGCCCCGGGCCGCCCACGGTCATTCCCTTTCTGTGAGTCTCTTCACCGCTCGCTTGTGAATCGCCGCTCATGGCATATGCCCTTCGTTCTGTCTGCTTCTACCAGCTATATACGTGCAGCCTTCCAACTCACCACTCCCCGCCTGTCCCAACGGACATTCGACTGATCGCTTCCCCCAGCTCCCCGTTCGCCACGTGCTTCCTCCACCCGGCCTCCACCCCTACTACTCTTACCCCGCCTGCCCGCATGGTGATCCCCCTACTCTCACGGGGACCACCCTCAGCCTCGACGCCCTCCGCTCCACTTCACGCGGACGGACGGGATGCCCCCGCAGCAGCTTCAGGGCGCGCACGGCCGCTCCTTGTCGCCCGGCGCCGCCGATTTCCACGGGTACGCGTCCATCCACGTACATTCCAGTCACCCAGAGACGGCCATGCAGGGCAGCCAGCAGTCGCTGTCGGGTCAGACGCAGACGGCCCACATCTTCAGGACTCCGCAACCGGGCCTGAGCGTCGAGAAGCCCATCACGACGATGGGTAAGTCCTCTTTCCTCCGCAAGCGCTGCGTAAAGCTTCACATCGACCGGCTCACGATCATCGCCCGATCGGCCAGGGAGGCTACGGCCCGGTCTTCTTTGCACGCAAAACGGACACACGCGAGGCATGCGCTCACAAAAGGATGAAGAAGCGGACGATCTTCAACATGGACAAGGTGAGTGGCTCGCCCGACACATCGTGTCTTCCCCGATACCGAAAGTCCCCTGCTCAGGCGACCGGGGCGCCATTGGGTGCCGCGTCTCAGTGGAATGCGGGGCTTGAGGCTGCCGCATCGATGTCGCGGTGCATACGCCCAGGCGTGGCCAGCGAGCTTCTCGTCAAGTTGCCGCCGACTGTCGAACTCGTGCTTAGGGATCTTTGCGACCGTGTGGGGTTGCGCAAGTGAGGTACCCGTGGGCCCATCCATTCCGCCGTGTCCAGCTCGCCGCGCTCGGTACACCTGACGGGTGCAGCTCGCTGCGCTCAACGCGCTTGCCACACTCAACGCGCCCGATGCGTGCACCGCGTCGCGCCTTACGCGTCGCGCTCAACGCGCCCTACACGTGTCGCTCACTGCGCTGTGACCTACGCAAGTGCGTGACCCGAACGTACCTTTTTCTGCACACCTACGATACCTGAGACACATCTAATTACCGTCTTGACATACTGTATCTGTGTTTGCTCGCTTTTGCTCCGCAGAGCTCCCCTACAGGCCATCCCACGACATGTGTTACCACTATCTTCCCTGTCCCTAATCGTCTATAGTCAATATAAGCATATTTCTAATGTACCGACTGCGAGAGCTTCAGTCCATCCTAATGCTCCTGGAATTCCTGGAAAGCGAGGTCAATGCAATCGCAATCCCCTCCTTGAATTCCTCCTTGATAGCCCTGAACCCTTGAATACTTGCGGACCTGGAAAGTCCTTATCTGACCTGGAAACCCTGGATTAGGACTTTTAAGGAGCTGTGCACTTTTACTGATGTGTGATGCTGACGGTGCCGACAAGTCAGAGCTCTTCTCGCGGGAAATGAGGTGGCACGTCATGTCCTGCGTCCGTTCATGTGAAGTGAGTATATGCGCACATGAGGTGATAAAATAAAGGACCAGTACAGTCGGAACCCGTGCGCTGTTACCCTCGGCGACCTGCTGGAACAAGCACGAGGCCGGCCCGCGGAGATGCTGAGGGTAAGGGCTATTGAGCTAGTGGAGGCATATGTAAAGATGAAGGGGCGTATCGGATAGTCCTTTGAATCCTCCTTCCCGTCTTCCTCCAGCTTCAATGGGTCCATGGAGAGAGATAAAAGCCTCGTGCGCGCGTGTACACAGGATACTGTCCGCCGAGCCTCGACTTCTCGCTCCCGGCGTCCTTGACCGAGGGCTGTGTGTCCTGCTATGTGTACTGACAGTCGACCGCATAAACGATGGACATCGAAAGCGAGAGCCTGCCGGGGCTGCCATCGGTAACAGCGACGACTGGGAGAAAGACGAACAGATCTAGTCAGAGTCGGCGGTGTCGCGATGGGTCAGGCGTCTCCGTTACCAAATCCATACCGTCCACGTGGCGTCTCGACTCTCAGCCCATGCAACTCAGTGACGCCGGACGGTGAGTCGTTGGCTTTCTCCATCTCCTGTCCGTCTCGCCCACCTGTGCCTGGAAAGAAACAGATACGCCGCCTCGTAAACACTAAGCTCTGGGCGTAACCCTACTGTACCATTTCGTATTAATCGAACGTCACGCGTCACAAGAGGGTCCAAAAGTTCGAAATTTCGGGGGTGGTCACGGCTCACAAGGCCGAAGTTCGAAAGCGTCTTGCGGGCGCTTGTCGGCGCCCGCTCAGTTTGGGCGTAGAAGTGCCCAAAAGTCCATGATGGGCCCGAACTTTCCGGGCCGTCACGGACGGCCCGGTCAAAGTTCGAATCCACTCAACCAAACTTTCCGTCACGCTCCAAACGGTGGTTCGATCAATTCGAAATGGTACAGTATGTTCTGTCCACTCGGCGTATCCACCGCGACGTTCGCGCTCCAGTGCTTATACCCGGGCCGTCGGCGTCCGCAACACGAAGAGGCCATCTCATCCACGTCGAGCGACGTCGTATAGTGGGCCATGCAACGACACTGGCAATATTATTTGTATTTGCGGAGTGGTTGCCGAGCCCTGGACAGCTAGTAGATGGATGACAGACGTGCGGCGGAACTGGTGCGGAGGGGACTCGTGAACTCAGCTTCCAGTCTCCGCTTCTCGGCCGCACCCTGAACACTATAACGCACCGCGCACCGCGCGGTAGCCGGTGCGCCGAACTGTACAGTCGGCCACTCCCCTGAAGTCCCCCCACGATGGCTCTTTGGTATGGTAGTCATTCACATAGTCTGTGAGGAGAGACGATTTCCTCGTCTCAGGCTTGCGCGCTATCTTCCAATGGAGACGGCTCCGGTGAGCCTCGTGTGATCCTCCTGTACCCGTCCGTCGTTCGCTGATCGTCAGGCTTTCTAATTCCAGCACAAGATTCCCTCGCCCTGTCTGCGCCTTTGCCTCGAGGCCTGAAACAACGCTTCTCACCTCCATTCTTCCTGTTCATATACAGGCGCGGACGTATCATTGTCGGCCTCCCGCATTCGTTATCGTACGTCTACACCCCGGATATGCTCCTGTACTCACACGTTGAAGGCAATTCGACAGCTACTGAGGCACAGCACCTCATCCATGCGATTGCAAACCAATCCATCGGAGCATCCACTCCGGAGATGTGTCAGGCGGAGAAGTCTTCGGCGTGGAAATGGACTTGCTCGTACAACACACCGAAAAGTCTTGATCGTGTGGATATTGTGTACGCTCGTTTCTTTCCGATGCGTCGACTCGCTGGTGACTGAACAGTCTGGTTCTATCCTAAGATTGATTAGTTAGAGAGGATAGAGCGCGTGAAAGGCGAAGTCTGCTGCAGGGCGCCAGGCGGAACGATCAACCGGAGGTGTCGGAAATTGAATGCTTCGAAGCCACACCAATGTGCCAGCACGCCGGCACGAGTGAGGTGCGGTGTGCAGGGTCCGGGCCAGCCGATCGGCGTGCCAGGACGTGCACGAGTCCGTGCCCCGTACTACTAGTCAGTTCTGTCGAGACCAAGTTGCCCCTCGACCCTCGCGCTCTTACCCATCTTCTCACATCGCTCAGTGCACTACGGCATCGCCAAAATCCATCGCTTTTCATAACACTTCTCTTGGTCATTACGCGTGCGTTTCCTTGCCTACCTCTGGGACAGCAATCATCTCCGCAAAGACGACCGTATCCGAGGGCACCCGCTTGTGTCCTTTGTGCATCCTCGTGAGTCTGACATCCGTCGTCGTCTCGTGCGTCATCCCAACATTGCTGCATCAGAGTCATGTGGCTGCTGGGAACTGCCCGCGCCAACCTCGTTTTCTTCCCTCGTCCTGAGCATGTTCCAAAGCCCGGATACGCAATCTTGTCGCACACTTGGGGCCCCTTGAAAGAAGACACCTTCCAAGTGGTTCAAAGGCTGAATGAAGAGGCCAACCGAGAGACGCTCACGAACACTCTCGAGAGCCGGCAGGTCCGAACATGCGAAACAGACCATCAACTGCTTTCTGTCGCACTCGTCGAAGAGAAAGCTGCGCGGCAGAAGCTCGAGCGTCAAGTGCAGGATCTCATGAGTCCAATCGGCCCTACGAATCGGTGCCATCAAGTGAGCACGCATCGTCAACAAAAATCCGGTATGTGTGGACGCCGAGAGTGACTATGTCCTGACTTGATGGAGTCTAACTGGTGCATTCATAGCGCAGCTAGCATTGCTCGAGTCTCTGATCCCATTCGTTGAATGCCCTCCACTACCGACCTTGGAAACCCAGTCTCATTCTCGAAGCAATCGCCACGTTGTCAACCGGCCAGAGGAGGGACTCCACTCCACATCGACCGCTCCCGTCGTCCCCGATGCCTTCCTCCGGCATTCTAACCCGCCAGTGGGTACCACCATCTCCTCACCCCCATGGTTCAATCCTCGCGACAAACTGTCCCATAAAGTTTGTGTGTTTCTCGAGGAGGCGGAGAAGGTTGGGTACCAGTTCGCCTGGGTGGACACCTGCTGCATCGACAGGACGAGCAGCGCCGAGCTGTCCGAGGCCATCAACTCCATGTTCCAATACTACTCACATTCCGCCATCTGCTACGTCTATCTCAGCGACGTCTCGTACATTCCGAACAGAGACATCAAGGCGATTATTCGGTGGAGCATATGGCATCATCGTGGATGGACGCTTCAGGAGCTTCTCGCGTCGCCCGTCATCTTCTTTTTCTCCGAGCAGTGGAAGTTTCTCGGCACCAAGAACGACCTTGCTGACGTCCTGCAAGAAGCGACCGGGGTTCCAGCCGCCGTTCTACGCTTCGAGACTAACATCCAACAAATGTGCATCGCCGAGCGTTTGTCTTGGGCGTCGAGAAGGGAGACAACCAGGCCCGAAGACATCGCGTACTGCCTGTTCGGGATTTTCGGGATCAACATGCCGACGCTCTACGGCGAGGGCAGCGAGAAGGCGTTCTATCGGCTTCTGGAGGAAATTATGAAGACGTCGCGCGATGCCTCCATCTTTTTTTTTGGACATCACATGTCATATTACAGCTGGAAAGGAGCAATGGAAAACTTCTTGCCGAGACCTGAAGAACTTGGCAGCGACCTTCTTCCCCAATCACCTAAGGGATACAGCGAGGCCGGCCTTAAAATCAAATTCGAGGGCAATGCTCGATACGAGAACACAAAGTTGGGCTGCCACAAGCGCAAAGAAACAGTGCGTGTCTCTGTATATTTCCGTAGAATAGTACTTGACGATTGTATTGCAGAATGTCCTACGCTACCCAAAATTCAAGCTAACCCCTGGTGGGTTGATGCTTTCGGCACCGGTGTTAGAAGTCCCATTGGAACAAAGTCAGCCCACCTTGCTTGTCGACCTCTTCTGCAGTCGGATCATCGACAATAATTTCGACGTGCCATGCTACTTACGGATTGAAGCCAAGTCACCAGGGGTGTATTCTCGCATCGGCCCAATCATATCTGTTTCTGGACCTCATCCCGCCGATCTCGAATGGAAAATGGCTGAAGTATGTCTTAAACAACGGCATTCGGGTCTTCTGCTCAGTCACAGTTTTGTATCTGGGAACCACGAGCTTTTCGAGCTGCAACGTCTCTGCGCCGAACAACATCAGTAATTTCCCAAAGTCCTGTGGGGTCCTGGGGGGCCTGACCAGGGTTCCCAGGAACCCAGGGATTTTGCTCCGGGCGTCCGGGCGTTCAGGCCGTTTCAGGGCATTTAGGGCGCCAGGCCGGCCAGTTCAGTCAGGGATTTCAGGAATCCGGCAGGTGGGGGGAATATAGCATTTATTGTCACGGACATACTATCGTACATGTAGGCATACAGACTGGTGCGGCTGATGAGCGCCACGCCGCGCGGGGAAATTCTCTTCACAATGCTCCTCGTACATGTCCGGGTCCGAGCCCCACTTCGTCGGCGCAACTGCGGGCAGTGGCACGGGCATCAGAGGGCATCACACTGCGAAGTAGTACTCGCTCTCCAAGTCCGAGCCGTCGCCCACGCTCCCAGACCTGAACCCGCTCCCCCAGTGGCTACGCGCTAGTGTGAGTGCGTCAAGGACAGCAAGGGCTGAGTACGCGGGGAGCGATGCGGGGAGGCCGTGCGCGGGAGCGCCCGGCGTTCGTCCGGGTCGAGAACGCAGACAGCACCCAGCGCAGCTTCGGCGGGAGTTTCCCCACCTCGTGCACGAGGGGGGTCTCGACCCCGATGGTGAACTGCGAGGGCGAGCTTGAGCCGTGCTCCACCGAGGGGCAAATCCCATGCGTGCGCAGGTGCTGCTCGCGTTCGACTGGACCGCGAACGGCTTTGTGCACGTCAGGATCGGGCACTTGAACGCTGCGGGGGACAGAGGAGAGTGAGCACGGACACCGACGAGAGCACAGCACGACCACGCACGTTTCGCGCCCGGGTGCGAGTTTATGTGCGTTGCGAGCACGCTCGGCCGCGGGAACATCTTGAACACTGGTGCATCTTGCTCCCCCGCTGCTCGCAGACCCCCTCGCCCGGCAGCGTCACCGGGCTGCCCTGCTCCGTCTCCAGCTCAGGGCTCCCCTGCGCCTGGTGCTGCTCGAGGGGTGCTGGGGCGCCAGCGCGTGGTACCAGTCCACGTCCCGCCGCTGCACCTCCTCCGACGTCGCCGATGGCAGCGACGACCCCTCCGACTCCCGGTCGTCGTCCTCATCGAACACGAGCCCAGGCACGCTTGATGGGCTGATCGGCTCCATCGCGCCCACGCCTACGCTGTCGAACGACTTGCGCCGGTGCGTGGACGTCAGCGTGTGCACGCCGTCGAGGCCGCCGGCGCCGAACGGCGACCCGGGGGACCCTCCCAGTGCGAATGTGGGCGGGGAGGACGAGAGCGGGGTGAGGGCGTAGCGTGCGCAGGGGCCGCTTCGCGTTCGACTGGACCGCGAACGAAATCGTGCATGTCGGGATCAGGCACTTGGACGCCGCAGCCAACAAACATTCACCCCGGCGTGGAGATGTTCTTCTAGATCCAGCGCAGTGCGAGGTGTTCTGCGCGCAAGAGTGAGTCAGAACTATAGGCAAAACTGTGCGCCCCGGCGACGGCGAGTGCCGCGCAGAGCACATAGTAAATCTCGTGCACGAAGGGGTAGCGCGGATTATACTTGCGCATATATGCGCCAAAATTGCGTACATGTTTTCAGAACTGCTCAAGTAGATTGCACGCAGCTCGGTTCGGGGTGGTGGCAACTGTGGGGGGCCGCGCGCGTGGGGGGAAGGTGGGGAAGGTGAGAGCTACATACCTCTGCCGTTACAGTTGAAGACCCCAGCTCCAGGTCTTCTTATGGCATGAGCTTTTATGGTGGAGTGCCCGCCGCTGGCCGGCTACAGCGTTGTTGTGCGTGGAGTGAATTGTCCTCAGGCGGCGTGTCGAGTGATGCAGATGGGAGGAGGTGAGAGGCGACTCGTATTTGGCGCCTGCGCCCTTCGCGTCTCGATGCTCGCTTTTCCCATCTCTTCTTGACCCAATCCCGTTCTTCATTCCCCCACCCTCGCGTCTCGCCTCTAAATATACCTTGAACGTAACTGCGGTAGGAGCGCCGGCAAGCCGAGCGCGAGAATGGCTCAGACATGCGTTTCAACAAAGCCTAGGCTTTGGTTCTTCGCGGCAGATGCGAAGTGTAGATATCGGACCAACTGTGAGTGTTCAAACGTTCACTTTCGTCCTCATGCGCATCCACCTTCCCGCACCCGATACCCCGACCTGTACCCATGTGGGGGTTGCGCAACTCGCACGGCGCGTGCGCCTTCGTGGTGCACGACCTCTTCTTTCCTGGACGATGTGTGCGCCTCAGGCTGTCCTCTCACATCGCACAATTCTGCCCGCGCACCGCTTGCCTTTCCAAAGTCAGACGCAGTTCCGCTTGAGCGAGAGGTGGCCAGGACAGCATGGCGCTGATGGGACACAGTCGGACAGTCGAGGTAAGTGTCCCATGAGTGTGCTCCATCGCTGCGGACCTAATCGTTATCGGCATCACCTAGTGCAAGATCTAGCCGGGTACGAGCCGCAACATGAGCCTGATGGCGTGGCTCTTGACCGTGATCCTCACGAAAGGTGGGTCTTCGCGCGCGCAGGTGTATGCTGGTTCGCTGAATCCTGATCCACCGTTGCGGCCCCTCCAGAGTTCTTGACGGCTGTGGGCAGCTGTGGAGCTAGCCCACCGGCAAGGACATGCTCATCGGCATAGGTACGCGCAATATCGCCCTTCCGCTCTCCGCTGTTGCGCTCCGTGAGGTCGACATTCACGGCTCCTTCCACTGCGCGCACACGTATCCGACTGCGCTCACGCTCTTCGTTGTGACACCTCCTCAGACCCATCGTCTTCCTCGTCTTCTTCATCACTCAAGACGCACCGGTCACACGTCCCCATGACGATCTCGACCGCCTCCCTCCCGCGCAAGTCCTGGAAGCGCAACATGCACAGCAACGGCTCCCCCTCCGCGCTCAGATGGCTCACAATCGTCGGCCGCCTCAGCTCCAGCCCGAGCGCCGCCAGCCGTCCGAGCAGCCAGTGCGGCACCTGGAACGGTGGCGCGGGCCGCAGGCAATGCAGCGCGTGGCAGAGCACGAGCCGCTCGTCGCGCTCGCGCGCGGGCGGCGCGTCCGCGATGAAGAGGTCGCGCCCACGGGGACGCGCTCCCCGTTGAACTCAAACGCGTGCCAGTCGGCGCTGAGCGCGACGAGTTGGCGGATGCAGAGCGAGCCGTTCGCGCGGCGGAACCCGTGCCCGACGTGGTACTTAGGCCTATGTGCCCGTCGCACGTCTCGGAGAAGAGGACGGCGACGGTGATCCCGGCGGACTCGAACACGGGGAGTTGTACCTTAGATGCGTTCAATAGGTACTATCTGGACATGTACATAGATTACCACCTACACGAACTACTGTACTAGGCTGATTAGCAGCCCGAGTCCCGGATCCCGCGCGAGGTGCCCTGACGCCTGAAGCCCTGCGCGCGCCGGGCGTCCTGGATCCCTGCGTCGCCCTGTGCGCCCTGTATGGTCCCGGTTCTCCTGGATCCCTGAAATCCCTGAAATCCGGGGATTCAGGGATTCAGGGAATTTGGAAGTTACTGATGAACTATCCTCGTCAAGCGCCCCCTTCCACCTCTCTTTCGCAAGTGTCATACGGTCTCTAGTTCCGTTCACCTACAAGAAATACCTCAGGTCTTCTTCTGTTGACTCACCGCATCGCAACCTCCGAATCGAGCTGTTCTTCGACGCCCCTCCCGGCTACGATGGCAGTCTGTGTATCCAGTTGGGCTCTTGCAGACACAGTTCCACTTTACCTACCCCCTATTCCCGCGAAGATCGGTTGTCAACTCCATGGACGCATCACACTGCTTTGTTCGACTCAAGGGATTCCTACAGCCATGGGTGGAATTTTGTGTGCGAGAACTACCACATCGAGATGGACGGGTCGTGGCCGAAGACACTTCGGCATCAAATGGCGGGGAAGACGGTGGAGGCGACGTTCGCACCGAGCACCCTCGCCCCTCACGACGACCACACGCTCGAGGTGACGTTCCGGGTGTTCTAGAGGCGGATTACGGCAGCGGGACGGAACTAGGGAGGTCTGCGGAGGGCGGCAGCGGCGACGGTGACGGAGGACCCAGCTCAGAGGGCGGAGGGCATTGCGACAGTCATCGGACATTCGTAGAGTACATATCGCCGGATGTATCGTCATACGCAAGCCACGTCGTCCGAAAGCAATGAGTCCGTGTACCCAATTCCAACCTCGATTGATCGACCGTCGCTTCCCTCACATTCCCGCATATATCCGCGACAGACTTATGCCCCACGAGCCCGAGCTCGGCTAGGATCGTCTTCATCACCACCTCGACGCCCTGCCCGGCGATCGCGAGCCCGTACGCGTACTTCCGACCGACTACAGCGAGGGGGATCCGTCCTCAGCACTCGCTAAGACGGAAGGTGGAGACTCACGCAATACGGCCTACGCCTGGCGATCGCGCGAATCCGCGCTGGAGCGGATTCCGCCGGGCATGAGGACGGCGGACTTGTTCGACGCCTGCGCGGACCCAACTTTGGGCGAGGGCATGAAGTGCTCGACAGCGTAGAGGGAGGTCATCGAATCGTTGATCTGGCGGCCGCCTGGGAGGACACGTCGGTTGTGATGCTCATGAAAGGGGCGAAGGCCAGGACGCACCATGGTTCGAGACGACGATGCCCTTGACGCCCTCATCGATCGCGATCTCCGCGTCCTGGGCGAGGAGGGGTGGGTGTGTGCGCCAGGCGTTGACGGAAGGAACACGCACCTCCGGACCCAAGATCCTCGTCACCACCAGCGGTTCCTCCCGGTGCATGCGCAGGAAGCGCACGTCTTTCCAAGTCCTGAACGTCCCATTCACCGCCTTGCTCCCCCTGCCGCATGATCTCCTTGATGCGCGCTTCACCCAGACGCGATGAGGTTGTCGATCTCAGTGGGGTCGTACGGGAACGCCGAAACCTCGCTCTCGTCGGTGTGTGTTGCAGTCCAGTCCCCGTGGAGCTTCATGAACTTCGGGTCCGAGAGCACGATCTGGACCACAAGTTCGTGCGCGAAGGGGAAGAAGCTGGGGTCGAGGTCGAGGTAGCGCCATCCGATGGCCATGGTGTCGATGGTGACGACGAGTTCGCTGTACCCGTAACGTTTCGCACGGGACAGGAGGGAGTGTGGTGTCTTCGTTGAGTGGCCTGTGGAAGGTGAGGGTATGCGCACATGGGTGATACATCGACGTACCAGTAGAGCTGGAGCCAACGAGCGAACGCAAGACAGCGTCGCTGAGGGTGAGGGGTATCCCGAGTGCACCCGTGGCACGCCCTGTCGCGCACTCTGAATCGGCACGCATAGCGCCTTGGTATCCAATGGGGGCGATGAGCAAGGGTGTAGCGTAGGCGGTGCCGGAGAGTGTTATCTATTTCGTGGGTAAGATCTCGCGTTGAGGAGGGGAACATCGCAAAAATTGGGCACGAGGAAGTGACATACAATGAGGTCGAGATGGGTGACATCACGGATCCAAATATGCGCGGCACGATCTGCTGGCGCACGAACTGGGTTCGGTTCGCGAAGGGGTCTCGCCTGTCCCCACGTATCTGGAGACGGAGTCTGGCGCGTTTTCGAAGAACGATTGAGCCAACACAGAGGAATACAAGGATGAAGGAGCGCACCTGGATAGTCCCTCGGCTTCTCCATCGCGTCCTCCCTGGACTTCAAAGGGTCCACGGAGCCACACGGAGCCCAGAAAAGGCCTAGACTTGCGCGAATGCGGACCACTTGCGCGGCGCGGAGCCGTACGTGTTCATATCCTTCGTCGCTGTGGCTGCTCCAGCCATGTTGAAATGGAGGGTGCACAGCCTGGCGAGACCGGGGGACTGGAAGCCGCGAAGGTGGGGTTCTGTATCTCGTTGTTTGGGCTGGACATGCTGGGCACCGGCGGGAGTCGTCCACATAGGTGTTGCACATCAAGTGAAAGAGTAAGGATATCCCAGCTGTCGAGGCCTGTGTCTGTAAGTGGCAGCGCCCAGCGAAAGAAAAAACATACGCGCGACTCACCCGTCGTTAGTCTCCCCTAGCTGTAGCCCATATTCTATGACCCGCCGTATGCCGACCCATGCGTGACTTGAGCCGCAGGCTCGGACCCATGAGAGGCCGCGCGCACCGAGCAGCAGCATCACTAATCGCATGCGTTGCGTACTGCTGTAGCGGATAGTAGAGTGAGATGGCGGAAAGGAAAGGAGGCGAGGGTTGCATCACGGTCGCAGCCCAACGACGGCAAAGTTTAAGGCGCGCGATGCATACGAGCCGCGGCCCGCCTTCCCGCCATCATCTCCCGAGCTCTCACATAGACCAGCACCTTGTCATAAGGCCCCGGTGCACTCTGAAAGTGTGGTGGCCAGTATACGTTTACTCGCGAGAGACACCGGCGGAAGGAAGGAGCTGCTGCTGGGGGATTGAGATGGTGAGTTCGGACGTGAAGTTGCCAGTTCACGAGAACCGTACGATCGTGTATACTTATATCTTTCAATGAACCCTACCTCCAACTACAACACGGGGAATGACCGAAGTCTGTGTTCGCCATTGGCCTTCGCAGCGTTGCAGCTGGAAAAGCTAGCCGCCCACTCGCGTTTCCAGCTGCAACGCTTCTGAGCCGACAACCTTTCCTCGGCCTCGGAAACACCTTTCAACACACAAATAGCCCATCTTTGTAGCCGTTCGCGCTCAAAGAGCATTCGCTTCCCCTTGCTGCAGAACCCCTCTCGTCCAAATGATCCTGTCTTGCACATCGCGCTGGGCGGCTGCGACGACGAGGACACCCAGCGGCAAGCCCTCGCCTCTGCAGACAGGAGCCGTGGGTCCCCCACGCATTGGGCCACTCCAACTTTCGGGAAGCTCCATCGACGCAGATGATGAATCCTTTGGGGAGCACGACTGCACGACCGATCACCTGGACATAGATGGATCCTGTTTGATGACCGGCGACTGGGGGCGAGTGAGGTTCGAACGAGGCGCGAGGAACGAGCGCCTCGGCCGAACGGGTGCTTTCTAGGCGTGGGTTGCCGGTGGTTGCCGGATGAGGGAGACGCGCGCTAGCGCGCTAAAGGCTATCGCCTTTCGTCTCCTCCCGCATCGCACCCACGCAGCTCAAAGCGCACCCACCCACCACTCCCAGCGCTTTGGTTGTGAGAGTGGCGCAGAACACGTCGCACTCCGGCCTCGCGCTCAAGTGGACCGTCCGGGATCGCGACTCACACTCGCGTTCTGCCCAGCATCGGGCCCGACCTTCCCGGACGGGCGCTCCGCTTTTCCCTCCCGCAGACCAAGACCGAACACGTGGGGCGCTACAGTGACCAGAGCGCCCCTCGGCCATTGTTTCCCCTCACTGCCGGCTTGCCACAAGGTTCCCACCACGCAACTAGGAAGCTCTTCCGCCTGGTGTAGCGATGGGAGCTAGCGGAGCGCGGCGTGGAGGGCGGGCGGAAGAAGCACGACGAGAAATCGCGAATATTCGGTGCCCGAATAGGACCTGGAACACGGTACTGCCATGGTACCTGTCACGGTCACGTTCTTTGTCTGGTCCGCTCCACACCAGACAAAGAACAGGAATCATGGTCGGAGCATGATCCGCGCCCGGCCGGAGTGGCGTAAGGTATTCTGATCCGCCCCCGACCATGCAAAGAACATGGTGAGCACACGTAACCTGACTGACTCATGTTCCCAGCCTGATATGCGCGCCACTGGGCATCATGGCATCAGCCTGGTCCGCCACAGACCAGGCCATGCCCAGGGTTCATGGCCTCAGTCTGATCGGCCACTTACCAGGTTTTATGTTCGGCCCCAAGACTTGTAAGTAGCGCCTTTCTTTTCACACTCTCCCGCGATCATTGATGTTTTCTTCGCCGCACGAACAGCGCTAGCGCCGTCAGTGCTACCGACATTCTTGTCCTCTCCAGCGGCCCCGCCTCGTCCCTCTATCGCCCCGCCTTCAGCCCAGCGTCCGCACCCACGCGCCCATCGCCGCCTGCTCGATGCCGCTATCGCCCGCGAATTCGCTCAAGTCCCGCACCCGGCCCGTCGAACGACTTTGGAAGATCACTGCCGTTTTGCGACAGAACATCGTCGCATGCAACAATCATGTTTAATTAGGTCTACTGTTAGCAATACAAGTTTACAACGTGCTAGTACCTGGTACCGGCAAGCTCCTCAGAGTTCTCGGCACCAGACAGACTCGTCGCGCACACGCACTATCAAAGCTCATCAGAGCCTCAAGCAAGGAGGCGAACGTGTTGCTGTAGTGGGAGCTACCGGCCGGTAGCTTCCAGCGCAGTCGCACCGCGGTGCGATTGCGCTGGAAGCTAAGAGCGCAGTGGCACTCGGAGCTATGAGCGCAGTGGCACTCGGAGCTATGAGCGCAGTGGCTCCGGTCATCAGAGCCTCAAGCAAGGAGGCGAACGTGTTACTGCAGCGGGGGCTACCGGCCGGTAGCTTCCAGCGCAGTCGCACCGTGGTGCGATTGCGCTGGAAGCTACGAGCGCAGTCGCACCCAGAGCTATGAGCGCAGTGGCTCCGGAGCTACGAGCACAGTGGCGCCCGGTGCTCTCATAGCTACTGTTCACGAGCGCGCCTTGCAAACGTGCGCGACAAGACCCGGTACAAAAAGTCAGTATCATATGGACTACGAATGGTGGACGTTACTAACGAGATTGCCTCTTCGTGCGCAGAACGCCCAAGGATCCAACTCCAGGGTGGAGCCCCTCGACCGGAGTGCACGCGACACAGATTACCGCAGGGACGGGAGCGTGTCTAGGAGAATGATTAACTGAGGTATCGTGAGCGCGAGCGGAGGGATACATATCTGATCAAGCTGCGTCGGTGGTCAAGCGCAGGGTCAGGCACACTGGCGGACTTGAGCCGGATGGTGTGCTTGCGCGGCAATGGACGTCCGCGGGACAAGCGCGCAGTTGAGCGGGAGGTCGAGCTTGAATGGTCTTGAGCTGAGTCGAGCCGGGCTCAAGCGGCGTCGTGAACGAGAGTTCGACGGGCTGGGTGCGGGACTTGAGCGAATTCGCGGGCGATAGCAGGCAGCGATGGGCGCGTGGGTGCGGACGCTGGGCTGAAGGCGGGGCGATAGAGGGACGAGGCGGGGCCACTGGAGAGGACGAGAATGTCGGTAGCACTGACGGCGCTGTTCGTGAGCGTACCTGGCCAAAGGATGCGGCGGTGTACTAGTCAGGAGAAAACGTGCGATGGTTCAGAAGAGCCGTCGGGATTTTCAAGCGCGAATCTGCCAGTTGTAAAAGCGATGAGAATGACAGCAAGCTATCAAAGAGCTCTGTTTTCACAGCTGGTAGATTCAGTGCTGATCGGTAGCTTTCGACACATTCGAAAGTTGTTAAATATCTCTAGCGTCGCATGGTGATAGAGGGGACACAGCGATGTGATTACTGACACGCACAAGACAGTGTTACTCAACATCATCTACATCATGGGTATAACCTAGACGCGACACCTGTCAGTGTACGTCAGCATATAGATCGTGGTTGTGCTCTCTCCACTCACGACTACTTGGAGCGCATGGCCCTACGCAATGCCTTGGCATCGATTGCGTTCGGAAATGGCGTCCTGGGCCTGAGAGGCAAGTCGAAGTCGAAGTCTTCGTCGATGATCTCAAGCATGGCGATCTCATACGGCTGACGAGCCCTGAGCCACTTCCGATCATAGCAGTTGCGCCACAATCCTTTCGCAACGGGGCCGACCTGCTCAGGGGCGTTTGTTGGAAGGTAGCGGGATCGGGGCGGATTGCCTGGAGTCGCCCGAACGCCTACTGGCGTCTTGAAGTTGTCGATGTGCTGGCAGCTGAGTGTCCACAACCACTCGTTAAGTTGTCGACTACGCCATGGAACCTTCTTCATGCGAAAGAGGGGAGGATGAGTCTTCACTTCGTCATCCGTCTCGTCTCCACTCATGTGGCCGGGCATGAGTTTCTTCAGCATCTTGCTGACATGGCGGATTTTGAGCTGTGCAGCGATCAATCGTCGCATCTGTTGAATCTGAGAAGGAATCAAATAAGCTCAAATACTCTACAAGAAGCGAACTCCACTCACACCGGACTGCCAAGAGCGCATGGCTTTGATGCGTAGCTTTTCATTGTGGGCCTCTTCGGAAGGCGGATCGAGGGCCTCCTTGTACTTGGACCGCTTGCCACCCATGTGTTTATCTAAGATATGCCCGATGATCTTCCTCGTGCGCAAAACTGGAGAGATGACGATCTCTGAGTCCAGCTCGTATCCGGGCAACGCGGTCAAGAAGTGATCTATAAAAACTTCACGAGCAAGCTGGTTGAGCGGTGTGGTGGTCCAAGAACGTATCCAGTCAATGCGGAATTTCTCAACCGTGCAGGTAAGAGCACCGCGCAAGTTGTCGTCGAAATCTTCGATGTCTGAATCGCTGATCGGAGGTTGCTCCTCCACGAGCTCTTCTATCGATGCAACGTTACACATTGCATCGAGGTGTTTGCGGACGCAGCTCTGGGCGGGTGATGAGTACTGCACGGATACTAAAGATGAACGGTTGCTTACCTGGAGGAACAACTTCGCTTTGTAATTGGCGGGATCACTGAGAGCCGTCGATACCGACTTCTTCCTCTTGGTCTTCTTGGGAGTCGTCTCGTCATCTGCGTCTGAGACAGACGCGTCACCTTCTGTGATAGGTCTCCCACCTCCACGACCGCGCCGTGTGGTAGATTTGCCATGAGCTGGAATTGTGGCACTTTCTTCTGCCTCGCCGCTCTCGAGGCGGGAAAGAACGCGCGTCATCACGGCTCTGTGCACATACAAGAATCAGTTGAATATACGATAGAAGGACATATATGGGTTCACCAACTTACCGGGTATCCCGACTCTCCTTGATCAACGTCTCCATCATGGTTATCATCGCGGATTGAAATGCCATCTCACCGCCGCTTGCACCACCAGAGTATGGGCGATAATCACGCTGAGTTGGCATGGCTTCACGATCCGGGTGAGCGCACTAGAGACACGGATCAGCATCCATAAGGAACATCGTATGATAGGGAGCTAGTCACCGACGACGGTTGCACAAACGTAGGCGAAGGGACTCTGTGCTGCTCGGCACTCGAGTGATCTTCACCGTTGATGGAGGTGCTAGCGTCCGATTCGTTGCCTTGACTCATCAGCGCATAGCTTCCGTTGCGTTGTAAAGAACGGGCGGGATGAACGGATGCGATACTGCCTTGGGAGGACGTGGAGGGCTGAGGAATGGAACGAGGTGTGGTACTGCCTTTGGAGGACGACAAAGGCTGTAGAATGGGCCGAGGTGCGGCAGGAGCAGGGCGTGGCTGAGGAATAGGACGAGGTGCGGTACCGCCTTTGGACGACGACGAAGGCTGCAGGATGGGACGAGGTGCGGCAGGAGCAGGTTGTGGAGGCTGCTTGACGAAACAATGGGAAGAGAAGGAAGGATCCGAGATGTTGAAATAGTCATACGACGAGTTTTGAGGGCCAACATACGGCGCTCGAATCCGGGGGTAAGAGGGCTCAGGACCAGAATCGTCACGTAGCGCACCTCCGCACGGTGGAACTCCAGGTCCGGCAAGGGAGTGCCACGGTGTGAAAGATGTAGACACGGGATCGGCGACAGGAGAGAAGGCGAAGATACTGAGAGAGGGAGTCATACGTATCGGCCGCGAGCCGGACATTGACTGAGATTGGGATTGAGACTTTGACTTATCGGCGCGAGAGGGACGCGCGCTACCCTTCTCGTTACTCGACTGGGAATCCTTGTCAACGGGCTGCGCGCGACCGTTGGCGTACAAAGTGTCTTCGTCGCTGGGCTGGGAGTCCTCGTCGACGAGCCGCGTGCGACCGTCGGCTTCCATGGCGTCTTCGTCGTTGAGCTGATAGTCCTTGTCGACAGGCTGTGAGCGAGCGATGGCGTACAAAGCGTCTTCTTCGCTGGACTGGGAGTCGTGTTCGACGGGCTGCGTGTGACCGTTGGCGTCCATAGCCTCTTCGTCATGGATGAGATGCAGGTCTCCGTGACTACGTGAGGCTTCGTCGACAGGCTCGAATGCGTCATGGAAGTCCTGCTCACAGTCCATGAACTGCTCACTTTCGTCCTCTGAGAGGACGTCGTTGACGTGTGCGTCCATGAGAGGCTGCTCTTGAGCGGCATGGCTATCGATGCTCATGGCCTGTTCAGGTTGAGACTGCATTGGTCTCGTGTTCAGTCTCGTGTTCAGGTGGGTATGGTGTGCAGGCTGAACTGGACATGTTAGACGTCACAAACACTACATCGATGTGAAGAATTGGCGTACATTAGCTTCATGTTGGCTCTCGCTCGGCGTCAAACTCGGCGTCTCCTGAGAACCGGGCACCGGTTGAACGGTGCGCCGAGGTTTTGGCAAAGGCATAATCCGCAAGACTTCTCGATGTGCGGCGGGCGCAGTGGAACGCCGAATCTCGACCTTGAAAAATCAGTTCATCAACACAATATGAGAGCTACACACAACAATACTCACCTGATACTTCTTAACAGGGGTGCTTTCTACAAGCTCCAAAGGCCGTGCGTTGTGGTTCTGGTGATAGTAATCAACGTGAATATTCGGCGTTGCAACAAAATAGCACGCACCATTTCAACCTTTTTACTCTTTCCATCACCCACAAACTTGTGGTGGGACGCAGCCATCAGTCTTCTCTTCGAGAGAACGCTGGGGCTGGGGCTCGGGGCGCGTGGTTGGATGGGTGGGTTTTGAATAGGCCGGTGCTCTTGGGCAGCGACGTGTGGGCCAGGATCCGGAGAAACCATAAAGATATAGAGAAGTAGAGCGGAGGGTTTGCTGACAGGACAGTGGTTCAGGATGGGGGGAGAAGTAACAAGATGGGGCTCACCTGTAGGACCCCTGGCATAATGTGCAGCATACGAGAAAAGATCTTGTTTCCCTTGCTTGCCATTATGTGGCTCTTTGTATTGCAGCTCACAACGACTAACAGGGGCGCTAACGCATGGATAAAGAACATGGTAATATAGGCGTCAAATAACAGGTTCAGGACGTACTCCGAAACAAGAGTTCACCGACACAAGCGACACTTCGTCATATGTGATTTAAAAAGGTTGGTCAACTGTGTGGCTTCCGGAGATGGGGCAGAAAGGGGCGAGTGGAGGTATGCAGAAGAGACGCGGCATCCACGCCGGAACAGCATGCTTGAGAAGACGAGGTACCTCGTAGAGTATCGGCAAAGGAAGTCCGTAGCGCGATGCTGAAGTTTGACGGCTGGATGGCAGACGGGCGTGAGCAGAGCAAGCGGGAGAGATGGGTGGACGTACGGATACAGAAGCACGCAGCGCGCTAACGACCCTCGCCGAGCATCCGAGCGAGAGCTCCGCGATGTGACCTCGATCACTAGTGGGCTGTCGATGGATGGGAGGGTGCGCGATGCAAGAGAAGCGGTGAGGAGTGTGGAGTAGGAGTGAGGGGACCGGTGTAGGACTCTGAGACGAAGTCCCTGAACCAACGTACCGGACGGGGTGTCGCGCACCCGTGAAGTCCCCATAAAGGCTCGTAGAAGTGTTCCTCAGCGCCATGTTCACGTCTGAGTGCTGGAGTTTGGAGAGGAACAGGACACAGATGAAAGGCGTGAGCGAAGAGTGAGTAGGAGGGCAAGGTGGGCGCACCAGAACATAGCGCTACAGGTCGGCGCAGTATCGCCACATAGTATATGAGCAAACGCTCTGCGTTGCAGTCTTGAAATATGGCAGTCGAATGTGGGACGCGAGCAGGAAGCGGAAGTAAATGAGTCGAGATTTGGTGGCAGAAAAGGCGTGGGCGTACCAAAACAACGCAGTATCTCGCAGAGTCCCCGAATACCTGCTTCATGGTGCGGCCTTGACGTGTGATAGTTGAACAGCGGAAAAAAGTGGAATCCGAAAGAAGGAATTGAGCGGGGAGTTAGAGGGAGTGACGGGCGGACGTACGGAGATCGCGTGTCTTGCGCTTCAAACAGCTCCATAGATAACCTGGTGCATGCTCTCCGGAACATCCTTGATGTCCGAATGTCGGCAGGTTGATAAGAGCGGAACACATGGGCGAGGAGTGGGCGGGATTGGGGGAGGTAGGGCTTGGGCGCCGAAGCAGCGTGCTCTGCGCTAGTGTACCACGTTATGGAGCATCCGAGTGGACACCCCGTGTCATTTTCTTCATCGTTGGCTATTTGTGGGCGGAAGGCAGCGTGACGCGAAGGAAGGATATGAGTAGAGAGTGCGCAGGGAAGAAGATGCGGGCGCACCCATACGGCGGACTCTTTGTTGGCGCAATGATCCGCTGAATATCCAACAATGTGTCTCGTAGCGTGGTCTGGACATCCAATGGTTGGATAGCGGGAAGGAGCGATATGCAGAAGAAAATGGTGAGGAGAGGGCGGCGGGAGAGACGAAGCGGGCGCACCGAGTCAAAACGTTGCGGTCCGATAGAGCAACCCGGACATCATTCGAGAAGATGTCCCATGACGTGGTCTTGACGTCTAACCGTTGAACGGGGAACAGAGGCAGGACGTGGAAAAAACAGGGCGAGCAGAAAGTGGGCAGGAGAGGCGAGGCGGGCGCACCGAGTCTCGAGACAAAACATTCCAAGCGGACAGTTTTGAGGCCGTCCTGTGTCGGCGCAGGGTCCCTTAGAGGTGCTTTATGGTATGTATTTGATGTTCTATGAGCTAGCGGTGGGGGAGGGGCAGGATACAGAGGGAGAACATGAGCGGAGAGTGGACGGGTAAGATGGGGCCGACGAATGGGGCCGACGTACTGACATGGGTGAACTCTACGTGTTGAAGAGCTCGACGAAGACTTCGAGCATAAGCTCTCACATGCGGTCTTGAGGTATAACGACTGTGGGTTGGACCTGAGGGGCCCGGTGCAAAAGAAGGATATGAACGGGGAGTGGGCAGGAGAGAAGAGGCGGGTGCACTGGAAGAGCGCGTTCGCGCGATATTCTATATGTCCGAAAACGCGAACTGCGGCGCAATCTTCGTGTCGAACGGTTGGATGGGGAACAGGAGCGGGGCTGAAAGCGCAGGACAAGGGGAGTGAAGTGAGAGGAAGTGAGAGGCAGAGTCGACAGTGCGAGACGTGGCTGTGACTTGCAAAAGTGGCGGCAGACCATCAAAGCACGTACTCAACTCCAACTTGTGGATGAAGGAGAGCTGGTCGTCGGGAGACGCAGACACGAAGAGAATAGATGGTATGGTGGTGTCTCGTGGTATTAACGTTTGTAATGTAGCGACAACTCGTTCAATGGTGTGATAAGGAAAACAAGAAAGTGGAGCCCTACGGGGGAGTTCCGTAAATCCACACACCCGATAGGCACGTCGACATAGAAGGTGTCCCCCAATTGTCCACGATCTCCAGTGCGAAGACTCCAAAAGTCATCCCCAGGTCCACGAACTCACGGGAGAGTGGAAACGATTGTGCCCGAGTGCGGTTGTGAATGTCGTAAACAGGGGAGCCTAAGAGCACCCAACGTACGTCCTTATGAATCGTTGGTCGAACGGGTTTGCCCGCATCAGCGGGTAGCGTCTTGAATAGCCGCATGTTCGTCTGGCCATCTACAGTGCCCCATAGTTGCATGTTCTTCGGTGCCCGGGTGCGTCCTTCGGGATCCGTTGCCAGAGTGTCGATAATGATATGCGTCGGTCGGATCATTTGCGTACTTCGAACACCTATCTGGGCGGGGAGGGAGGAAGGGGCCCAGCAACGCGATGTGTCACGGCTGTTGAGAACCGTTCGAGGATCGGTGTTCTGAGCGGAGCTCCAAGGAGCTGTGAAGGCAGAAGAGGAGGTGATCTGCCAAGCAATTGTCCCTCCGGCTATGTCTTGAGCGTAATCGACTGGAGATGGCGAGGAGGATGCAGAGGAGTGATGGTGAAAGGCGTCCAATATTAGGCCTTGCACCTGGATCGCATCCGCACTGGTGTGGCAGAGAAGTACGACGCCTTGGGAGGATGTGGAGATTGTGCACCAACGGGAAATTTCAGCCCAAATAGCGACAACGATGAGCGCAGCGGCAAACACAACTGGACGGCGGAAGCTGACAGGCCGGAGCAGTGCGGAAGTTTCGCGCTTCGCGGGTGGCGCGAGGCGAGTGGAGGTTTCCCTTTGGAATCGAAGAACTTTGGGCTCTGAGGTTGGCCCTGGTTTCAAATTAAATCAAAAATTCTACGTGAAGATACTGAAGAGGACGAGCACGCTATCGAATCTTCGCGTAGAAGAAATCTAGATGCCGCAAAGGGATCGTTGACGGTTCTAGAGGCCATGGAGGTGACGACTAGATGGGCGACGTAAGCGAAGCGCACTTCTGACATTCTAACGCAGAAAACCCACATTTTCCACTGCTGATCAGATCAGTGAATGGTGTCAGGAAGAGGAAGGCAGTGGCGGCTGACAGCGGAGGAGGGGCCCAGATGTAGCGACCATACTATAATGGTTCTTTCAAAGAGGCTTTGTCTGGTTGAGAAGCCAGAGGATTCGGAGCGATACAAAATTCGACGGAAACCCGAAACAAATTAACAGCATCGTGTTCGGACGAGATTTCTTTACTATGGGTTGACAGCATGGGCATGAAGATAGCCTAACGAGCGGCAAGCAAGTGGCGCCAGAGGAACTTGTACACTCTCGGCAAAAATGTGAGGTAATGAAAAAGATTCTCAATACCCCGAAAATTGTAGAAGAGAGCTCCTGCGGTGCACAGTTGTCGCCAAAGAAGCAGCAACTTAGTGTAGGCAAATAGCAAATAGAAGGAGGCGAGTGCCACAAGAGGAGCTACCACAGCCCCGAATATATCCGACGTTAGAGCCATCACGAGCAGGGCGCTCCCTGACCTCAAAGCATGGAAGAGCGCGTCCGTTGTGCACTGGCATCAGTAGTGGGAATACTGCATGCAGCGCGGACGTCACGGATGACGGCAGGTGAGTGGCTCGAGAGGAGGTGCCACACCTTTGACAGGAACACAGGCATGAGAGGCGCATCGATGAGGATGTCCGTCTGGAAGGGTGTCGCTGCTACGTGTGGACATCCTCGATAAGAACATGGCTCACGGTGCGCAGATCGCGAGGGACGGTGAGCGAGTGGCACAACAACAGCTACCGCACGGTCGAAAAGATCCGGTGCGAGAGCTGCAATGAGCGGATCGCTTGTTCGCCGTGCTCGCAGCATGTGAGAGAATTCCCCCACCGTTCTGCGGCATACCTGACGAGATAGCAGTCCATGGCGCGCAAATCGCAAGGAACCAAGCGAGTGGCGCGAGAATAGCTACCACGCCCAGTCGCTGCCGCGCTGTGAGAGGGTCCACCGCTGAAGTTCCGACGCGCAGATTACTCGTTGTCTCGCCATTATACTGAAGAAAATTTTCGCTGCGCGCGGAACCCTCAGCAAAGCAGCACCGACGACTCATTGCGGAGGGAGCCGCGAGGGTAGCTACTGCGCCCCCAAAAGATCCAGCGCACTACGAGGAGCAGGTCACCTACTACTCTCGCAGCACATACAACACAGTACCCACCGTGCGCCTGCATCCTCGACGAGGCAGAGACTCAAGGCGCGGAGCTCGTGAGGACGTGGGATGCTAGCGGTGTGAGAGGAGCTACCACATCCTCGAAGAGTTCTGGGCCCGAGCGATGACGAGCGCTGTCATCGCAACATACGGGGATGCTCATAATATGCGCTGATGCCCCTGAAAAGGCAGCAGCTCACACTAGGGAGCGCTTGGAACTAGGATGAATGAAAGGTGCTTACCAGTCGCTGTTGAACAGAGCTCACTCGGAGCTCTTCCAGACTCAGCCTCGAGGCCGTGTATATACCACTACATTAGCGGGGCCGCCTGAATGAAAAGGAAGAGGTGAGATAGGAATCGAAAAGTTCAGGTAGAAACAGGGCCGAGGCGACATACGTTCATCCATGCGCGTGGCTGAAGAGAGAGACGTGGCTTTAGCGCCATCCGGAGCTGCGTCCCGGTGGTCTTCCTTGCCGGCCCCGAGAAAGTCGGACCGCAGCGGCTCCATGCGTCCGGCGTGCACTCTGTCTCCCGCGTGTGCCACTCCGCGCTCATGTTGCCTGTTGCCCTCTGTTCGGCCTGCGCATGCTCACATCGCTGCAGAGGTCACCACTCTCCAGGACGACCCTGAGCGGCGGTGAGGGGGGCTCGCGCGCAAGAATCTAGGCAAGCTCTCGTCCCGGTCTAAGCCCGTTATTCCTCTCTTCCGCTCACTCCTTTTGTTCCGTCCGGAAATCCAGATCCATTCTTCTCGTCCACCATCGGTGCACTGGGTGGCTTAGCCAGTGCGTACAACACTCTTGAACTCAATCTCCGTAGCCAGACCGACTCCTCCAAGCCCAACAGCAACTACGCTCGTCTGGGCGACTTCACCATCGAGCGCCACCATCCCCCGCCTGTTTACGCTCTGTGCGCTCCTCCGGAGCTCACCCAGCGCCACCTTGTTCCCTCTCGTACCTTCAAGTAAGTCAGCGCTGTCGCTCTGCCTGTGCTGCTTCTCACCTTCCCGGAAGTGTGCTCCCTTAAGCGTGCGTGCGTAGGCACGACACCCCCCGGCCGCAATCTTCGTGCTCCTGACGCCAGCGTGTCGAATGCATCCGCAGTCCTTGCGCTAGGGCTGTGACGATACATGCGGCGCCGCACCCGTGCGAGCTCGAATTCGCCAAGGCACGATGGAGGGTTGGTGACGGTGGTACGCACACGGATGGAGAGCGGACTGAGGTTGGAGCGCGGATTCGATGCGGTGTATTCACTACATATGGACGATGTTCAATGAAGCTACTTGCTATGCTTGGCTGCATGGTATAGATCGTCAACTTTAGGAACACAAGAAGTGGATAGAAACTTACTCGCAGCCGCCTTTTTCTGTCCCCATGCCTTACCGACCCATGACGGCGCAACCAATGTGGGCGTAATAATCAAAGAGCGACCATCCTCTCTCACATAGCCGATCTTAACCCTCTCCCAGCTCCCTTCTCCAATGTCGTCCTCGGTTCTGAGCCACATCCGGACACGATCCTCATAGATGTGAAGAAAAATGTCGCCCACTTGTAAGCCACACGCTGAGCTGAGTCTCGGTGGCTCCTTCAACTTAGAATTCGACGTTGTTTCGAACCAGTACGTGAACTCGCCATCGCTCTCCCGGATTGCTCGCTGACGACGCTGCAGCTATACAGTCCTCTCAGCACCATCTACAACGTCGAAGGGACTGGTTTGTACTCACCTGCACGCCCTGCACCTCTTCGCTCCTTTCCCTAGCCACCGACTCCGCTCTGGGCTTCGACCTGGTTGATCGCGTCTTTGGAACGGACGGACTTTTTGACGACGTAGGTACCTCGGCTCTTGCTCCCCGTTTGCCACGGCGAGATGGGGCATTGAGCTCCGTCTCCGATCCAGAATCTGGTGTGGCAGGTGAGCGAACATCCGAAGCGCAGCCTACATCGCAAGGGTTTTGGTCTGTAGCTGGGGCAGGCTGCGGCCGGCGCAACACACCCTTGGTGGGACGAGCCGTGTTGGGGGAGTTAGGGGAAGTGGAGGGACCGGATAGAGTGGAGGGGTTATGCATCCAGTCGTTGCTGGAATAGTCTGACTGAGAAATGGGTGAACGTTGGAACTCAGGAGCAACTCTGTTACATTGTATTAGTAGTGAAGTCGGAAGAGCCTCCATAGCATACGCACATAGGTGTCCTCGTTCGTCCGACTGAAGCTGGATAAGACTCCATGATTGTGGGTATGGCGCGACCCCGTGAAGGGGTGGAAAATCTAAGCACCGTTGGGCCATTACTGACAACTCGGGTGGCAGCCGAGAAAGGTCGATCCTCAGTCGGAAATTGGAGGATCGTAGCGCCTTTGCCTGGAACCAGAGCGGAGGCGAAGACGGAGAGCTTGGTGTCCTGAGTGCGACGATGGAGCACGTAGGACCATACCGACGATGATAGGATGATTGCGACAAGCACTAGACATAGTTGTGGAAGGGTATCGGAGATGAACGGTACGAGCAAGTGGGTCATGACGGAAGCAGGTGGGTAGATTCATGGAAGCAGTGCAGTACATATACATTCGACAATGACCGGCGCATCAATCTCGACTAAACGCAACTACTTTGTCCCAAACAAAACGAATGCCGCCATACAACCCTACCAACATCAAGGCCCATTGAAGACCCTGGAGGATCTACGGCAACTTAGTTAGCATATGTGAAGGCCGGAAGGAAGCCAACGTTCGCACAATCGCGCCATAACAACTTGGTTCTGGGAAAGTCCGTTTAGGTACGGGAAGCGTCGGTGTGAGAGATCCATCTCCGACTGGAGAGTGTTAATCAGTACGCGTAAGAAAACGGGCACTAGCTCCATTCAACTTACGCGCATCAACCACATCCACCGCCTTCCAAAGGATAATGCGGCAGGCTGCATCTTTGTTGAATACCCCGGTAGCAATGTAAAAACCGTCGGTGGAGGCATCATAGAAGCTCTGTGAAGTGGGCATTAGGGTATGTAGGACTGGGGCGACAGGGAGCAACATACATCAATCGCAAACACACATTCACCCTCTGTGATGAGGGTCAGAGCTCAATAATGAAGACAAAGACGCAAATGCGAGCAAATACCTCCCAACGACAGAGACTGCTTAAGTCGGTTATAGATATTCCAGATGTTGATCTTGCCGTTCGACGTACCTCCGAAAATTGCGGTCCCTTGGTGAAGGAAGCGAACTGGGAGACAGCACCCGGCACTGACGTCTTGATGGGCGGTGAAGAGAGACTCTACGCTTCCGGGCTTGCGCATGAGGAATACTTCGAAGCCTGTCAATGAATTCGACACGGCAAGAAAGCGACCATCGGCACTAAAATGCGCGTCGGTGCTATAGCCGCCACTGAGCCAGATAGCAAAGAAACTGATAGGCTTAGACGTACATTCGTCCGGGGAGAGATGCAGAATGCAGGCATTTGCCTGTTTTCCCATCGTAGGCTCTGCGAACGTAAATTTAGTAGGTGACCGTTTTCAGACGACCATGAACTTACATGATGCCATGGGTCCGATACACCACCAGCAGTACGGAGGGGTGCTGGAGAGTGCTCATCCAGTGCAAACAGGTCACGACGACCTTCTCGCCTGCATCCGGTTTAGGTGTTTCAACTTCGAAGTCCTGACGCCAACGCGAGATGTAAACATTGGTCAGCCAGTCCTCTTCAACAAAATCCGTCAGCATTCGATGCTTCAAATAATGACATTGCTCACTTTTTTTGCAGTAAGTCCATATCTTAACCTCGTTATGAGCTCCAGAGACGAGGTGTTTCCCCCAGAGGGCGAGGCATTCGACGGGATACTCATGGGCCACAAACCCGTCTAACTCTACAAGTTCCTATGTGAACGTCAGGGGGTATAGACGTGATTATAGCGCAGCTACTCACATCGGATATTCGCAAAAAAGCAAGAGTCCCGTCTTCCATCCCACACATGAGGTCGGTGCTCGAGTCCTCGAGCCACAGCAGCGAAAGGACAGGACTGTTCCCGAAGAAAACGTACTTGAGCACCCCATTTGCTGAGGACCAAACACAAACTTTGCAATCCATCCCTGCCGATGCTAAGTACTGGCCGTTGTGGCTGAAAGCTACACATGACACCGCGTCGGAATGGCCTTGCTGGTCGAGAAATGTGAGGGCAGGTTGGTAAAGGAGCGGCATGGTATCCACTAGAATGTATATGTCGGACGCTACGGGCTGAAGCTCAGTGATGGGTGGCGAATGTGGTGGTGGATTACAATCCTCGGTGGCGTTGCGCTATCTCTGCAGGGCGTGATCGTGGCGGCGCTTGTTGCTCGGGCCGGCGCGAGGTTCCGTGTACTACGGGGAAGGGTCTATGCCACACTCTCGCTCCGCACTCTATCTTCCTTCGTTCCAGGTTTACGCACGTTCCATTCAGGCAAACCCCCAAGCGTGTGCGTGAACTTGTAGGACTGTTTTCGGTGAGTTTTACCGGCTCGCGTTCTGTCGACTACCGCCCTCCCCGTCCCCCGCCTGCGCGCCCGCCCTGACATCCTCCTTCTTCTCCCCGCTTTCTACAGACCTCCGCATACGCATTAAACGTACACGAAGGAAACTGGGAGTCTTTTTAGACTTTTGTTGGTGAGTTTTACCGGCTCGCGCTTCGTCGACCACAGCTCTTTCCGATCCTGCTCCCGCCCGCCAGACCTCGTAGAGCACGCACGTGGGGTTCGAGCACCGCGCACGCAGAGTGTTATTGTGCACAAAGGTACACTCGGTGGTATCGCGATGCACAAAGGTACCCAACGGAAACTCCTCCTCACAAAGGTATGCTGCATTTGGACTCCGATGACAAAGGAACTGAGCGCGCTTTCCGAACCAGCCACGTCCTTCGCGCACAGACAGCGTATAAAATCTCACCGCGTCTGTTTCCGAAGATGTACCAGCCCGACCCAGTCCGACGCCATGGAGGTGAGTGTCTCCCGTACAGATTGAAAGACAACAGGCTGATTCAATTATATCCTTGCAGACCGTTCTCGCCGACATCCATCAGGTGCGCCTGTCTCTCTTCTGCGAGTAGGAATTTCTTACCGAATTTCTCACAGACCTTTTTCTGCGCCGACACGGTGGCTGAAGTTGAGGCCTTTGTGAGTCTTCACTCGGAGGCCTTTGTGAGTCTTCACTCGGAGGCCTTCGTGAGCCTCAACTTCTCAGCTACAGAGGGCGTTCCCCTGGACCGCTTTCGCCAGGCATACATCAACCTCAAGACCGAGGTCGGCGTGTCCTCGGATTTGTTACGCCGTCTACTGGGTCTCCTCCACAACATCGAACGCCTCCAACTCTTCCTCCCTAAAGATGCTACCTCCGACGTCTTTATCAACATCGACTTCCCCAACCTCGTAAAGTTCTCCACCAACGCCCCTCACGCCGTCATAGAGAATTTCTTGTCCGCTCATCCTCAGATTCGCTGGTTGAGCCTGGACCGTCCCGTCATCCCGAATTCCCTTCAACCCATTGCGCCATTTATGACCATGAATCGCCTCCTCTGCCCCGTCGCCCTTCTCCGCGACGTTCACTTCCCCCTCTCTAGGCTTCAAGCCCTGTACCTCGACATCAACAGCGGCCAAGCGACTATCTCCGAGGATCTGCAGAAGATGGCGTCTCATTGCGGGCAGAAGGCTATCTTCGCAGAGCTCACCCACCTCTCCATCCAGATCGCACCGAGCGACGTGAGTGTAATGCGCGAGATCTCTCGTCTGTTCCCCGCTCTCCGGAACCTTACTCTCATGGAGATTTGTCTTATCAATGTAAGTATATGAGTGTCTAACGCTTGCGATTTCTGCTCACTTTACTTGCGCACACAGGCCAGACAGAGCGTTGATGGCCCCAGGGCCTGGGACGCCTTCAATGACGAGTGGCATGACATCCTCCTCACCCTTCCCTCCCTCCAAACCTTCTCCCTCGCCACTGTCTCATTCCTGCTGGAGCCTCACCCCCTCGGAGATCTCCTCGCTGAAGATTTCCTTGTGCGTCACTGGGCGGGAGGGGCTATGCAAGTTCCTCACCCCGCTCTTCGCTGTATCATTGCCGCATACCCATCGTGGGCAGGCTCTCCACCGGAGATAGCGTCGTTCTGGAAGTCGAAGGACGGGAGTTTGGAGGGTTGGAAGCGAGTGAACGTTGTCCGTGGCGGTGAGAAGGCGAATAGATCCATCATGGCGGGCTATTGGGAGATGCCTTGAATCCTATGTACATCACTACTGCTTGCTGTAATGCCGCTGGAACAACGATATTATACATGTGCATCGGAGTGAATCAGCACGATAAATTGTGTGTCCGACGCCCTCTCGTATTCGACACTGTGGCACTGACCATACTCGGAGCGCCCAGCACCGGGAGGCCGTCGACACGCGCGATCAGAACTAGACCCAACGCGCGCGCAATCATCGATCATTGTCCGCGTGCATCTGCACGCGTTAGAGCAATATGACTGCTTCCACCTGAGTGTGGCGCGTCCCATGCGGCACTTCTCTCCAGAGATTTACCGTGTGTTGACGGACATTTACCGTCTCGTCACGCTGGGCCACAACAAATATCGTTCGTCACGCTGGCTTGGTGACGACGCTTTTGGAAACGTAAGCTGTGTGACCGAGCCCGCGCGGGTGGCTCCGCGTCGTGCGGTGGTGGGCTGCGCTATTGAAGCTAATCGACTGCCAGCGCCGTGGTGCGCCACGAAGTCGCCGTGTTATGGCCTGCTCCGCCTGTCTGGTTACGAGCTTCGGCGCGCACCCGCTACGGACGCCCAGCATACGATCGTCCGCCACTGGTTACCTTGCATCACTTATATTCTCGCGCCCGCTTCACTGTATCGCCACGCGATTGCCTCCTGGCTCCTCCCCGTCGCCTCTCCTTCCCGTCTCCCCACTACCGCGAGCCTCTCCGAGGTCAAGCGCGTCCTCTAATCCGATCCCGCCTTTCCGCTCGTCTCCGACTCGCCCGACCTCCGCGCTCCCGCGCTCCGCGACCGTAACATGCCGTGCTAGCCAAACTCCATACATCCAGTCACACTGCAGCGAGATCAGCGTAAGAAATCATTAAGACGATGTGTAAAGACTCTGCACGTCCATTTACAGTACATTGGAATATTGCAAGCGATCTATAATACGCTGCACCTCGTCCTCGTTTACGGCTACAACCCCGGCCCTCACCCACTTCGCCGTCGTAGAACTAGGACCCCACCGCGACATGATGCCAGGAGAGTAACCGCACCCCACAGAATACGCCAAGAGAATATGGTAAAGGGAGGGGTGAGGAGATCGGATTGAGACCCCGGTCCAGTGGCGTACAACTTTCCTTTCAGCCCGCATGTCTCCGATGGGGGCGTCCACGAAGAGGGGAGAGGTGGTGCAGACGAGCAGGCATTCCAAAAGCTCCAGCTTGCGCAATGCCTGCTGCCACCGACGCCCATCACCCCACGGGGATTGCCGAGCGATGACGAGACGTTCAGCTCCCCGGGAGAGTGGGAAGGGCTGCAAGAAATGAGGTTAGTGACGTTTGGGAGAACGGAGAGCGAGCTTACAGGAGTTCTTCCAGCGTAGATCAAGCACAGGCTGTGGATCTTGGGAAAGAGTCTTGGAATCTCTTTCACAAGTCGGCGATCGCCAGGCCCCATGTGGACGTACAGAAAGTTCACGCGAGGGAATATCTTCGGAGAGAGGTCCCGCAGGGTGCGAGCCACACGGGCACGAGAGACCGGGATGCCGGCGGCGTCCTTCAGCTCCAAGTATAGAACCTCGAGCCGGAAGAGTGGGAACGACAGCCCCTTGAGGCATCCGACGGGGCAAGCAAGAGTCGTGATGTTGTCGAGGAGGGGAGCATGGCGGAATGGAATTGAAGGAAACCTTGCGATACCAAAAATGGTAGGGGTGTCGATGGGTGGACAGAAGAGGGTGAGGGTGGTGATGGAGGGATTCTGACGCAAGAAATAATAGACTGTGGATGCGGGGCCGTCGTAGATGAGCTGTTTGACGCCGCGAAAGACAATGCCCTGAAGTACGTCTGGGGGAGTGTTCTTCGGGAGGTCGAGGCTCAGCTTGTACACGGTGGGCCAGACCGAGACCATGCGAAGCAACTGGCGCAGCTGCAGTAGATCTTCGTTTGACGCTTCGACGCCCCGCTCCCAGCGCAAGTACACCTGAGCGTAGCGTGGAAGTACCAAGTCTGGGGTGGCGTTGATAAGGTCGATGTGGTTCTGCACCTCCTCAGGGGCATCGACGCATAGAATAATCTGGGAAGAATCAGTGCTCCATGCGTAATGTTGTAGGTGTGATAGAAACGTACCCTGTGAATGATAGCCAACCTGCGCTGTAAAAATATCGCAATCAGGTCCAATCTGAAACGTTAACCTGGCGCACTCACGTCCATGGTCGAGACTGCGGAACGATGGTGAAGACGAAGTGGGAAGGTGGTGGAGATGGAGTAGACGGTTGGTTGGGGAAGATAGTTGAGAGGTTACAACGGCGAGGTATGGCTGCGACGGAGATGTACGGTGAGGCTGGCAGAGAGGAGGGCCTGGATAATTATAGGTCTTAGATGAGGTTCAATCGCAGTGCCTGTGACCATGAAAAGGAGGAATTTTTCGATAGGACAAAGGAATAGATATGTGAAATGGTGGATATACGAACCTTTTGTGTTCTTTGAACCCTTTTGATTGCGCAGTGTAAAGGCAACCATTGTGGATGTTTCCACAGAGAAGAGACGGAAGGGATAGAAAGACGTCCGCACTGTAAGCAATCGACGGCCACATTGTGGAGAGGAGGCACACGGGGAGCGCGCACGGCCGACACGCGACGAGGCGGAGCTTCTCGAGCACGCAGACGGCCGCGGGGGAGGGGGCGGACATGGGCGCGGGGGGCCGCGAGGGAGCTGCCCAGGCACGCGAGGGGCGCGCACGGCCGACGCGTGACGAGCTGGAGCTTCTTTGTGCAAGCTTTGTGCGGGTTCTCTGATCAATCTCGTCCATGATCTCGACTTCGCCGCCCACGCCCCGCCGCCCGGCTTCCGCTCCACTTTTTCACGACGCCCACGGGTGGGTCAGTACTCATGCGAGCCAGCCACTAAAGTACTGGTACTGTATACTTGCGTGCGGGCCAAGCATATGATGATAGAACTCATAAGATAAGATCTCCGATATGCCACGCTGCTCCACCGACTCGGCTGGTAGCGCTTGGTAGCGCCGGCCCGCCCCGTTGCGCCCGCCATGGCGAGGTATGGCTCCAGCTCACCCACGCGTCCCGGCGTGGGCGACAGACGCGGGAGACAGTTCATGATCACGATCGGTGTAGACGCTGACGACGTCGTGGCGCCCTCAGGCACCTGATTCACAGGCACCCGAACCGAGACCATGATTGATAACTGCGTCTCAGGTATCTGGGGGTGGCGGTGCTCGGGGAAGAGGCAGCCCTCCACGGGCCGTGTGCCGGGGATGCCAGGGAGACCGCGGCGGCGCGGAAGCGGCTCGCCTGCGAGGAATGGGGCAAGCGGGCGGGCGAACACCCAGGTTTCGCAACGCGTCTGCGACACATTCTGAACGATGCGTCAAGAAGCGACGAGTACTAACGACAGTGACGCCGAGCACTCGCCCATTGAGACGCGTCCTTCGAAACCATACGCCTCGCAAAAACACGCAGTGCCTGAACCCTGGTGCTGCTTCTCGTTCGCGTTGGGTGCGTGTCCCACCACCACGATTCTCACATCCTGGCAGGAGGTGCGGCCACTTAAAGGGCCAGCGATACAGACGTTCCGTGCGCCGTTGAAGTCAACGAAATATATTCATGGAGCGTGATAAGTTGGTAATTACAAGCATTATCGCTTGCTACAGCTACCAATGCATCTATTACGGTACTACGGCCTAGCTACGCACGCTGGATACCTGAAATGTTCGGTGTCAACGCAAAGAAGAAATTCATACTACCTTCTTCACGCTCTGTAAACTAAGATCTAGCAAAATCATGGCCGTATTTCTGGCCGGCATATTCTACTTCGAATCATACCTCCACCGGAGACCAGTCACGGGCGCAAAGAGCGGTCTATGCAGGGCCATTCCACCCCAAGGGATGGTTCCTCAGTCCAATGAGGTCGGCGACTTCGCAGCCCTGGCTACAATAGAACATTAGGGAGCTACGAAGGAGGAGGAAGAACCAAAATCACACACCTGCGCGCAACATGGCGAGTGATCTGATTCGGCCTTCTGTCCTTCTTGTTCCTGGACCCGTTGCCGCCGTGGGCCTGCCAGTGTCGCGCATGTTAGGTGCAGAAGAATGCCACCGAATCTCGGCAAAATCGACATACCTTATGAAAGTTGACGGTGTGGGCTTCCTGGATGTCGAAACGACATTCGCCAGGCTTGAACTTCGCACTGACGTTATGGGCGTTCTCGATGATACGAGCGCCGAGTCCGTCTCGCAGCGCCTGCGCTGAAATCAGCCGCGCTCCATTGAAACGAAAGTTGATCACTCACCTCGATAAGTTCCTTGCAGGCGACAGATCCCTCCACAGGTCCGCGCAATATGACAAGCAGGAACTGTCAACCAATGTCAGAAGGGCGTAATGGATGAATGAACGGGAGAAACGAACAGCCCGGTGTTCTTGACTCATGGGGGGCATATCGGAAGGATTTATATCGGCGGAGAGTGAGGTAGTAAAGGGTAGGGGAGTGAGAGCGAGAGATGTGGAGGAGGAGCGACAGAGGTGAACGCCGTGGGCCGGGGAAGAAAACGCGCGCGTGAGCGAACGGAGGGCGCGCGTGGGCGGACAGATAGGCGCGCGCGTGAGCAGACCGAAGGCGCGCCTGAGAAGCGAGTCCGAGAGAGCCGAGGAGCGCAGGGGAGTGAGAGTGAGGGATGCAGAGGAGGAGCCACAGAGGTGAGATGCTGTGTGAAGGTGCGCGTTTTGATGCGACTGAGGGTGCGCGATCGACGCGACTCGGAGAAAGTCGGGATGAGATCGAAAGAGACGCGCGTATCGATCGCAGTTGCCTGCGCTGGCGCCGTTGCAATGCTCAAGGACTATGTAACTGTATGGGTAGCATTGACTGGCTGCTTCAAACCAGGACGTATGGGACAGTGGTAAATATAGCGTCGGTCGTTAGTCCTTCTATAAGTCGACAGTTCGATTCTCAATGGAGTATTCTTTTTAAACTCGCCTCAAATGATGGCGAGGCAATAATCATGATCCTTTTGGCTCCCGCCATGTTCTCCTCGATTATAAATATTTCCTCTTACATGAAGGTTGCAACTGCGATACACGACGCCGGACGCACGGAGCCGCTGCGGTCCGACTTTCTCGGGGCCGGCAAGGAAGACCACCGGGACGCAGCTCCGGATGGCGCTAAAGCCACGTCTCTCTCTTCAGCCACGCGCATGGATGAACGTATGTCGCCTCGGCCCTGTTTCTACCTGAACTTTTCGATTCCTATCTCACCTCTTCCTTTTCATTCAGGCGGCCCCGCTAATGTAGTGGTATATACACGGCCTCGAGGCTGAGTCTGGAAGAGCTCCGAGTGAGCTCTGTTCAACAGCGACTGGTAAGCACCTTTCATTCATCCTAGTTCCAAGCGCTCCCTAGTGTGAGCTGCTGCCTTTTCAGGGGCATCAGCGCATATTATGAGCATCCCCGTATGTTGCGATGACAGCGCTCGTCATCGCTCGGGCCCAGAACTCTTCGAGGATGTGGTAGCTCCTCTCACACCGCTAGCATCCCACGTCCTCACGAGCTCCGCGCCTTGAGTCTCTGCCTCGTCGAGGATGCAGGCGCACGGTGGGTACTGTGTTGTATGTGCTGCGAGAGTAGTAGGTGACCTGCTCCTCGTAGTGCGCTGGATCTTTTGGGGGCGCAGTAGCTACCCTCGCGGCTCCCTCCGCAATGAGTCGTCGGTGCTGCTTTGCTGAGGGTTCCGCGCGCAGCGAAAATTTTCTTCAGTATAATGGCGAGACAACGAGTAATCTGCGCGTCGGAACTTCAGCGGTGGACCCTCTCACAGCGCGGCAGCGACTGGGCGTGGTAGCTATTCTCGCGCCACTCGCTTGGTTCCTTGCGATTTGCGCGCCATGGACTGCTATCTCGTCAGGTATGCCGCAGAACGGTGGGGGAATTCTCTCACATGCTGCGAGCACGGCGAACAAGCGATCCGCTCATTGCAGCTCTCGCACCGGATCTTTTCGACCGTGCGGTAGCTGTTGTTGTGCCACTCGCTCACCGTCCCTCGCGATCTGCGCACCGTGAGCCATGTTCTTATCGAGGATGTCCACACGTAGCAGCGACACCCTTCCAGACGGACATCCTCATCGATGCGCCTCTCATGCCTGTGTTCCTGTCAAAGGTGTGGCACCTCCTCTCGAGCCCCTGTTGTCCTTCGCGATCTCGGCGCCGTGAACCACGGTTTGTATGAGGATGCCAGTGCATGGTGAAGACAGCGTCCGACGACGGCTGTACGAGCATCGCTTCTGGGGTGCCCCGGATCGCACGCGACATTGCGCAACCATCGCACATACGCGTCGAGCGCAACTGGCACGCACTCACTGGTGCCGATAGCCCCGGAGCTACGCACTACGCCCGCCCTTGGCTGTCCCACGGCATCCTCGCTGTGAAGCAGGGAGCTGGCTCTGTCGGATCCTCCTTCTAGGGATCTCCAGCTCGTCAAGTAGGAGCCGTTATATATGTCTATTAGAATGAATCCCATAGAGGGAACTCGTCGTTGGATACATGACGCTCGCTGGAATAGTACAGGTGTTTATATATGAGGTTGAAAAGCATGGTGACCAGGACTTGTGTGATGAGCTGAAAGACGGTCTCTACATGGATCAACGAACTTAAGTGGCTTGCACATGCTGTGACGACGGCTGGGAGCGTCATTTGAAATGGAATCTGTATCCATGTCAGGCCAGTTAGAGTATCACTAGATGATAGTTGAAAAGCGGCTCGCCTGTCGAGCAACTTTAAGTCCGACTTGCGCAGCCAAGCCAGCCACTTGGGTGACGAAGTGCTAGAGAGATATTTTGGCACAGGGTAGAAGGAAACAAGAACTCACTACTAACCTCAATCTGCAAACGCAGCACGCACCAACCACGGGGTGGAAGGCAGGATAAAGGGCCCAGTATATTCTGACCCATAGCCCACAATCTGGTGCTGTAACGCTGTTTCACTTCCGACTCTGCTGCAGCTCGCAGGTGTTGAACCTCCTCGCTGAGCGCGTCTAGTCTTGCTGATGTCTGCTGAAGCTGCACCCGAAGTTCCGCTAGATCAGAAGCGACAGACGATACTGCAGTGTTCGTTTCTAAGCTACTGGCTGTAAACGTGAAGGCAACACAATCAGCCTTCGAAACGGTCCTTGTCAGTGCAAAGCGCTTACACTTCAGCATCTGCTGGATGTGTTTCAGTCGAGCGAGGGAATCTTCTCGGAGACGAACAGCGTCGGTTTCCAGACTACACACGCGAAGGGTGACCTTCGAACGATGCTGTTACTAATGATCTTCAAGCGCTATTGACGAGTGTGAAGGTGTCCTTACCGATCTTTGCTCCAAGGCAACTTGCCTTTTGCTTTTGGTGCTACGCAACGAATCCTCAAAATCGCCTAGCTCCTCTTCAATAGCCTTGACGGGACCTCTGATAAAACCAATCAGAAAGGTATTCAGAGTCGTCAAATGGTACTTACAGAGGTTGCTTTTCCAGTGGAGCCGAGTTTTTGGTACTAGGCGGTTCCATTGCGATTTTACAGAAGAGAAAGAGGGAGAAAACCGCGAGTGGCGTGAAAGGAACAATGGCGAAAGGCCATGCATAGATGCATGGTCATATACGTGGGGCCGGACTGTGTGCGCTTACACACACCCTCACCACCGACTTCTGTCTGTGCTCTTCTACGCCGCCCATCCTTCCTCTAAATCATCCCCTCATACCGCACCATCTTCGCGAGATTCATTATTCCTTTACACCTAATATTTCTCATCTACCTCCTCAACCGTCCTATCCGGCTATGACCTTCTGGGATAAATGCATCAAGACCCCCACGCGGAGCGAGGCCAAGGTTGCTATTGCATCGGTAAGATTCGTTCACGCGAGATCTTAAAGTGGACTTACGAGCTTACCCCCTATCTCATAGGTTCTCCGTGACTATAAGCACTCCGTACGTTCACTCCAACAAGGCTGCGAGGACGGTGCTGACTATCTTTCCTTAGGGCCCTTTGACCCTCAGAACCTCTCCGGGACTCAAAGCTTTTTCCGTCGCAATCGCCGAACATCACTCGCTTCGCTTCCTTCTGGAAGACATTCTTATCCAGCTACCCCCTCAGGAAGTGGGATATCCTGCCCGGCTGCTTCGGGAAGTGCTCAGGCCCTGCTTTTCCATTCGCACTTTGGTCTTGCACGTTCCGCTTCCATCCCCTCCGACGATATTGAAGGATGTCTTCTTCTACTCCCTCACCACCTTCGCCACCAATCTTCCGCACCGCGCCTTGGTCAGTTTCCTCGCCGCCCATTCCAGTACCATCAAGTATCTATCTCTCGACATCTGTGGCCGCGCCCGTACCTGCCCTTTGAACCGCAGTGATTCATCCTTCAAAAACGTTCTCGAGCTGGTGTGTCCTGCGCGCTGCTCAGCTGCAATCAAGAGCTCCCGCGTGGGTGTGGCCAGAGTGCGATTGACTCACGTCGGTTCAACACTGTACCCCGCCTTAAGACGCCTTTCGTCCAGCCCCCTCACCTCTCTCGTTCTCGATTTCTACTCCCATGACCTCGACATTCTCACTCAAGTGTGCAACGGGATGCAGAACTTGGAGAAGCTGAAGCTTCACGAGAAATCTAGGGATGGAGTACGTTCTTCGCATCGCGCGTCGTTGCTGCTGCTCACCTCAGACTTCACAGCGTCTTGGACCGAGCGCACGCCGCCCGTGGAAAGATGTGGAGGAATGGCACAAGACTCTTCTTCGTCTTCCGCAGTTGTGGTTTCTGGAAATTTCCACTTGTGCTCGAATTGGCACCAGGCAGACGCCGCAGGGGGACGTTGTCATGGGCTGGGCAGAAGGCACTAGCAACGGTCCTGTTCCCCACCCTTCTCTCGTTTGCATTGTACTCATCCTGAGAGACGGTACCGAGGAGGATTCCCCCAGGTGCACACGGCTTTGGGAGCGCGAGCATCGCGGTCAGTGGGGATGCACCGAAAGTGAGCCTGTACAGTAGATATGTACGTCGTGTTTCATTTCATCTCTCAAAAGCGCTATTTACTTTCTGTATCCATACGGCATCCACAATTTTACTGTACTCTAATGCTTAGCTCCTGTAGCGGTCCGGAATCCAATCGTGTTGCAACCCTCGTCCATACACCTCCTGCTCCTGTTTTTATATAACCGTCAGATATTGATCAGGCCTCAGGATCGCGCGATACTACAATGCGCTCACACACAGAGCGGGGGCACGTGACCTCAGAGCGCGCTCAGATTCCCGTCCACTGTCTCCCGAGTCTCTACCAGCCGCTCCGATCATGTTTTTCTTGCGCATCCTGCCCTCGCCCCTTTACCAACACTCATAAATCAAGATTTCGTCATAAATCTTGTTTTCGGAGTCTTCTGTTGGAATTTCAGCTGGACCATTCAACGTGCATCGCTTCGTATGTCTGCCCCATCCCTCTTGCTCACTCTTATCTCACGTCCTTCTTCTGTGGTCCACCCCAGCGTTCTCTCCGTTCATCGTAGAGAAAGACCACAATTGGAGGGCTTGTGATCGGGTCATTTTCGACAGTGCGGAGCTGGCTATGTCTGTATGGTGTTCCCCTCTCCCGCTCACATCCTCCGCTCACCCCCCGCTTCTCCCCCATCTCCCCCATTTGCGGACACTCGACCATGAAGATCATTGCATAGCAGTACAACTCGGATAATCCTTGCGGTGCCATACTAGTGCAGAGCACCCTGTTCTGGTGCGTCCGCCCCGTCTCTCCCGCCCACTGTCCGCTTATGCCCTTCTTCTGCTTCGCGTTCCCTTCTATCAAGCAGTAGTGAAATGTACAGGCCTTAGGAGATACGACTTGTTCAGATACTTTCCGGGTTGCTCTATCGGACCGCAACGTTTTGACTCGGTGCGCCCGCTTCGTCTCTCCCGCCGCCCTCTCCTCACCATTTTCTTCTGCATATCGCTCCTTCCCGCTATCCAACCATTGGATGTCCAGACCACGCTACGAGACACATTGTTGGATATTCAGCGGATCATTGCGCCAACAAAGAGTCCGCCGTATGGGTGCGCCCGCATCTTGAGTCTTCCCTGCGCACTCTCTACTCATATCCTTCCTTCGCGTCACGCTGCCTTCCGCCCACAAATAGCCAACGATGAAGAAAATGACACGGGGTGTCCACTCGGATGCTCCATAACGTGGTACACTAGCGCAGAGCACGCTGCTTCGGCGCCCAAGCCCTACCTCCCCCAATCCCGCCCACTCCTCGCCCATGTGTTCCGCTCTTATCAACCTGCCGACATTCGGACATCAAGGATGTTCCGGAGAGCATGCACCAGGTTATCTATGGAGCTGTTTGAAGCGCAAGACACGCGATCTCCGTACGTCCGCCCGTCACTCCCTCTAACTCCCCGCTCAATTCCTTCTTTCGGATTCCACTTTTTTCCGCTGTTCAACTATCACACGTCAAGGCCGCACCATGAAGCAGGTATTCGGGGACTCTGCGAGATACTGCGTTGTTTTGGTACGCCCACGCCTTTTCTGCCACCAAATCTCGACTCATTTACTTCCGCTTCCTGCTCGCGTCCCACATTCGACTGCCATATTTCAAGACTGCAACGCAGAGCGTTTGCTCATATACTATGTGGCGATACTGCGCCGACCTGTAGCGCTATGTTCTGGTGCGCCCACCTTGCCCTCCTACTCACTCTTCGCTCACGCCTTTCATCTGTGTCCTGTTCCTCTCCAAACTCCAGCACTCAGACGTGAACATGGCGCTGAGGAACACTTCTACGAGCCTTTATGGGGACTTCACGGGTGCGCGACACCCCGTCCGGTACGTTGGTTCAGGGACTTCGTCTCAGAGTCCTACACCGGTCCCCTCACTCCTACTCCACACTCCTCACCGCTTCTCTTGCATCGCGCACCCTCCCATCCATCGACAGCCCACTAGTGATCGAGGTCACATCGCGGAGCTCTCGCTCGGATGCTCGGCGAGGGTCGTTAGCGCGCTGCGTGCTTCTGTATCCGTACGTCCACCCATCTCTCCCGCTTGCTCTGCTCACGCCCGTCTGCCATCCAGCCGTCAAACTTCAGCATCGCGCTACGGACTTCCTTTGCCGATACTCTACGAGGTACCTCGTCTTCTCAAACATACTGCTCAGGTGCGTCCGCCGCCCCCTCTGTCCTGCCCACTTCGTATCCATACACTTTTGCATCCCCATCTTGTCTGCCAGAAATTGCGAGAACTGCATGAGAGAGCTCATCCTGGAGCTCTCTGTAGGTTCATTTCGCTGATCAGAGCACATCATGCACGTACGTCAGATGTGTACCCTTCATCTAAATTCCTTCTCATGTTCTCCGTCTGTGGATAGCTATTCTCCGCCTCAGTATGGCCCGCAGTACATGTCGTTGTAGGCCGTTTAATTTTGTAGTTTTTCTCGCCATCCGTTCCATTCTTCTACGTTTGGCTGGTTACCGTCCACAGTCAGTCTACCCGATATCAAATTTGCTTTGGAACTGCCGGGCCCGTGGAATTCTGTTATCCAAGGCAACATGGGCCTGCATCTGCGGAATGCGTCGACCTCGCTTTTACAGGTTTTACGTGATACGCCATTGTTCCTAGTGGCCACTCGGTGCGGCGCTGCCGCTGTGCCACTTTGCTCCTTGTTCTCAACTTTATCACCCTCTTACCCTCTCTCACTCATCTTGTCCCGTCATCGTATGGTGAAGAAGACCAAGATATGTACATGCTCGGTTTGCCGGCTGCAGTCCTACAAAGCACCCGATGGCAGCATCCGCCAGGGAGCTAAGCAACGGCTGGATGTCTGGAAGAAGCATATGATGGACAACCAGTTTACCGAAGCAGACGACGACTTCCACATGCGCGAAGCCTTACTTCACGCAATTGTACGAGAGTCAAGCGAACGTTCAGCCTCCCCTCGACCTACAAGGGAGACCATGGTGGGTGGTCAAGCGTCTTCCGGCTGAATTTTCACTCAATATGTATCACTTGCTAGGAAGAACCCGTGGATTCATCCGAACGAGAGGAGGCAGAGGCTACGGAGACTGAAGTTGGGATGGGTGACGATTCCGGCCAGGAGGATAGCGATCAAGATCAGATCATGGACATGGAGGAAGACATCGAGGTGAGCATCGGATCCTACTGAACTCCGAAATCCATCCATCCTCATTGAGTTGCGTCAGAGAGAAACGCTGCCGATGAGGCTTTCACGCCTCTCTGCACTGGAGTCTTCGATATCCATTGCTATGAACGCCATGGAATCTAACCATTCCACACTCAAGTTCTCCTCGCATCCATCGGCAATCATCGACATCCCTAGCCCTCTGCTGTTCCGTGATCCAGAAAACGTTGCGTTTCTTGATAGTCGCTTCAGTTTGGAAAGCTCGCTCGCACGTCTCCTCACTATGAAGCCATTGGGCCATCGTGACGCCGACGCCCGTCGCTGTTCACTCATCAAGCGAACCCGCGAAGTACTGGACAGATCTTTGGCACTAGAACATTACGCCTGGGAGAGAGAGAAGATGAGAGCGGGACTTTTCGAACACCGAGATGCGACGCCGCAGGTCTTCTGGATGGGTGAGTATGGCACACAATTATTCGAGAACTATTTATGAAGCTCATACTTGGACAGAACACTTTCTAACTCCTCTACCCTCCATGCGACCCTTCCTGTTCGCCATCCTCATCATCACTGGCGCCCTACACACCATTTCCGGGCTTAGTCAAGAGGTCTCCGACCTCGTGCTCGCTCTAGTGCGGCTCACAGCCGTTGAAGTCTTCAAAGCCTACAAACCGCGCTCAAACCACGAGACTGCGGATGAATACGTCGCCACCAAAAACGAGCTCAGAGACGCTGTCCCAAAACACATACGTACGGTGATATCACGGCTTAACATCGAACCCTCCATCGTTTGATATGCAACATGTCCCACGTGTTGTGCAACATACGCCCCGGATCCTACGAAATATCATGGGAACCCATATCCTCCCCTTTGCGTCCATTCCGAACCTGGCGAGTCGCCTTGTCAAACGCCTCTGGTCCAGCAGAACGCGCAACTACCGCTGCGATCATTCCCTTACCAGTCTCCCCTCTCTTGGATCGCAAAAATGTTCCCACGTCCCACCATTGAGTCGATTCTGGCCACTTCGTGGACAAGCACAACCCTCAAACCTGGTTCCCCTTGGACGGACATTTTCCATTCGCCAGCGATTCGGAACTTCCTCGGCCCAAATGGAATTCCGTTCTCAAAGACTGTCTCCAACGATGTTCACCTCGTCTTCGGTCTCTACATCGACTGGTCTAACCCAGGAGGGAACAAGCAGTCCGGGAAGTCTCGCTCCGTGGGCTCCGTATACCTCGTTTGTCTCAACCTTCCTCTCGCCATACGATTTCGCCCCGAGAACCTCTGTTTGGTGGGCATTATACCTGGACCAAGGGAGCCCTCGACCCACGAGCTCAATCACTTCCTTCGACCACTCATCGACGACTTCCTTGTCTTGTGGACGTCTGGACTTCGTATAAGTCAGACGTCTCTCTGCCCTCTCGGTCGCCTTGTTCGTGCAGCCATCATCCCCTTGATATGCGACCTTCCGGCACTTCGCAAAACCGCTGGTTTTGCCAGCCACTCTGCGGAACGTATGTGTTCGTTCTGCTTACAATCGAAGTCCGACATCAACAATCTCTCGCGCTCGACGTGGACAACGCGGACCTGGCAACGACACTTCGAGATTGCACAGTCGTGGCGCGACGCTTCGACGGTTGCCACACGCTCGGCGATCTTCAAGGAGCATGGCATCCGATGGTCCGAACTCCTTCGCCTCCCATACTGGGATCCAACCAAGTACGCCGTCATGGATGCTATGCACAACTTGTTCCTAGGTCAAGTTCGCCATCACTTCCGGGAGGTATGGGGACTTGACGTCAGGGACCAGAAGGAAGGGAAGAAGACGCGAGAGCTGGCCCAGCACACGCCTGAAGAACAGAAGCAATGGCTCCAATACGTCGTCGATTCCCTCAACACCCCCCGCACCATGTCCTCACTCATGAAACCCCGAAAAGGCTATCTCGTCGCGCTTGCACAAGCCAACAGTATCGTTCCAGCAGCGCTTACAAAGAAAGCATATGCGGAAGCCTTGATAGAATGGGTACGTCCATGTCTGGATATGATATTCGCTGTCCTTCAGACGATCCAACCATCATGGACAGACAAAATCAAACGCGTGGGCCGCTCTGCGTGTACCACCCATCCTACCAGAAGACACCGACAACTTCTATCTGTCCGACGATATCTCAACGTTTCAAGTGCTTACGCCGAAAATCATCCAACAAGTGCGCTCAGACATCCAATCGACATACTTGCCATCTTGGATCGAGCGACCTCCGTCTAACCTAGGGAGCAAATCTCACGGAAAGCTAAAGGCTGATCATTGGCGTACCGTTTGTACTATCAGCATGGTCATCACCTTGGTTCGAACGTGGTCGTTCACAGCCTCCGAACTCGAGCTTGCGATACTCGAGAACTTTGTCCATCTTGCCGTTGCCGTCGATCTTGCTTGTCGACGCTCGATGACGGCGGATCGGGCCCGATTGTTCGACTCTCACATGTTACAATACGTGATCGGTCTTCGCAAGCTCTTCAATCACAAACTCTCGCCGAATCATCACCTCTCGCTCCATCTTTGTCAATGCCTCCTCTTGTTCGGTCCAGTCATGGCCTGGTGGGGCTTTCCCTTCGAACGCTTCAACGGCATCATTCAACGCCTCAACACGAACAACAAGATAGGTAAGGTCTTGCAGCTCATTAGTCTAGTAATAGCCGTCTGATCAACCACGTTCTTCGTCTCGTACAGAGGAGATCCCTCTGACCTTCGTGGATCACTTCTGTGTGGGAACCAAACTGAGGTATCTCTTCGACTCGGTAGAGTGGCCCGGCATAGAAGAATTCGACGACCTCAAATCTGCGGTCCGCGCTGTGTTCCAAGACACAACTCGCAGTACCAGGGCGGCGGAGATCCTTGCCTTAGCAACAGCATCGCAATCGGCCGAGACTCTACGCGCTCTGTACACCAAGTTCAAGCACTGCAAGGCGAAGCTCGAGCACGATGTCTACAACAAGCTTCTTAGCGTGCTCAATCATACGCCTCCAGTCGCTTACAGCTCGTTCTACGAACAACCTGCCCGTGGCACTGTCCAACTCCCACTCCACGCAGTACTTCTTCCGAAGATTGACGTTCACCGCGCCACGCTCGGGACACGGGACAAGAACATCCGTAACTCCTTCGTGTGTGTACATGACCCCACGGATCGGGATCTTCCCAACAGTGTACTTGCTGGTCAGATCTCCCAGATCTTCCTTCATAGAAGACTCTCACCGACACAGGAGGACTCCATCGTTGAGCCATGGTTGGTGGTGGACGTTTATGCCACTCTCACCGACGAACACGCAGCATGTGACCCTTATCGCCGATTCCCCTTGCTCGACACCAAGCTTGTTTACAATTGGTCCGAGAGGAGTATCGTCATACGGATAACGGACGTAGTTTGCCAATTTGCAAGCCTGACCTATGTACCTGACGGTATCGAAGAGAGTTGTGTCGTCGTGCGAGCTCTAGATCGCGTAAGTCATATCGGTTTCTGTGCGGAAGATCACTGACGTTTTGCGACAGAATTGAACGTCGTCACCATCGTCGCATGCAACAATCATGTTTAATTAGGTCTACTGTTAGCAATACAAGTTTACAACGTGCTAGTACCTGATACCGGCAAGCTCCTCAGAGTTCTCGGCACCAGACAGACTCGTCGCGCACACGCACTATCAAAGCTCATCAGAGCCTCAAGCAAGGAGGCGAACGTGTTACTGCAGCGGGGGCTACCGGCCAGTAGCTTCCAGCGCAGTCGCACCGTGGTGCGATTGCGCTGGAAGCTACGAGCGCAGTCGCACCCAGAGCTATGAGCGCAGTGGCTCCAGAGCTACGAGCACAGTGGCGCCCGGTGCTACGAGCACAGTGGCGCCCGGTGCTCTCATAGCTACTGTTCACGAGCGCGCCTTGCAAACGTGCGCGACAAGACCCGGTACAAAAAGTCAGTATCATATGGACTACTGTTAAGGTACGGGCGCGCAGGGCGCGCACGTGCCAGATTTCGGTGCCGGAGTTCGGCGTACCGGCCGAATTTCGGCCACGCTGCGAGCAGGGCTCGGGCGTCTTGACTTCGGCGAAGTATTTCGCCGAACTTCGGCCATCAGATCGGGCGATCTGAGACCATACGGACTCTTATGTACTCTACGCGCGTCCCACGGACGCGAGCTTACCTCCACCCGCACTACCACTGTATTCGTTACCTCAATCGAAGGTTTGGACGAGTCTGGCACCGGTGCGATCGTGATATTGTCATTTTACATCTTTTTTGACTCCCCGCTACCTCTACACGAGGTCTACTGAATACTATGAGTCACAGGTCGCCCCAACAAGACCATTTCGGCGTGTCGTCGTCGTCTGCAGCCCTCGATATGACTGCAGGCGCGACACGCAGCCGTCCCTACACCCCAATCCCGTCTTGCCCTTCGAGCTCAACACTTGCACGCGGCGAAACATCACATTCGCCACGTTCGCATGCTCCCAGCGACGACGACACAACATATCGCCCATCTGCCCAAGTGCGCGACACCGGAGTGCCTATCACAACGCCTCTGACGCCGACCCCTCGGGCCTCAACATCAACAGGAGTACGTGGATTCGGTGAGTATCCCATTGCCGCACCTTCCCCGCGGCGAGATGCCTCCTACTCTACGTACCACGACTCGATTATGTCGAGTGCGCAGGCCGGGCCATCAGCGGACCCTCGACGGTTCGCTGAAGACTCGCCTGCCGAGCGTGCGTACGCCGCACGCCCTGCCGTCGAAAATACCCAGGCGGAATTAATGCAACACCGCAACCGCCTGGTGTCAATTTCGGCGCGATTGGACGCATTCCACCGTGATCTTGGCGCCGAAATTCACGACGCCATGTCACGGACAAACCGTGTTCTTGGAAACGCAACCAGCGCGCTGCTGGACGTCGACGGGGTAATCAGTAGAAATAAATTTATTGAACGACTGCCCTACCGAAGCCCAGCTACGATTGCGCGCGAACTGGAACATGAGCGAGAGCAGGTAGCACGCGAGCAAGAGAATTGTGTGCTCCGCTCCACGCTCCACGCTATGCATGAACAGGACCCACTGCGGCCAGCAACACCAATCGCTGAGCGGCCGCCGTCCCGGATTGACGAAAGGAGCCATGCTACACATGGGAGTGGCCGAACTTCGCATAGCTCTGTGATAGAAGGCTCTGCCTCTCATAAAAGTCGGCGAAGTGCGGCTGCACCCACGCATAATGCTCCCCAACCGCTGCCTGACAGTGATAGCGAAGTTCGGAGACAACAGCCACCGAATTTCGCTCTTGCTAGCCAGGACACGCGACGATATGCACAACTGGAAGTTCCTGTACGTGCTCCCTCACCTGAGGATCGCTACCGTGACTATCGGTCCACGTATACGCAAATTCTGGATCAGCAACACGAGGACGCGAAGCAACAGCTGCGATTCGAAGCTGAGCAATCGCGTCCAACGTACGACCGCAATGCGGCAAGCAATGCGCGGTTCGCAAAGGCATCGAGCACATTGTATGCTCCTGGCCTAAGTGCAAGCCGTGCACCGTACCCCGCAATCACAAGAAACCATGCGCCGAGTGGTTACTACTATCAGGGACAACCTGTGCAAGTAGTACCCTCTGCGCATGTGTCTGCACCCACGCCGAATTCACAATTGCCTGGCACGCAGCACCTTGATGTGCTGATGCGGCGAATTGTGGAGAACATCCGCTTTAAAGTAGGTGGACGCAGCATTCCGCTGCCTCAGGGTGCAAAGCAGCCGAAACCGGACATGCCAGACAAGTATGGTGGTGAAGATGACCACCAGAAATTTGTGCTCTGGCTGGACGGATTCCTGAATTGGCTCAGGGCGTACAACTTGTGCGGCCCTGATGCCGATGAACATCGTTCACGGCAAATTCGGCCATGCCTTGAAGGACGAGCGATTGACTGGTGGACCCAGTCAATAGACCGCCCTGGCGTGCCGCATCTGTCGTTTGAAGAGATCATCTGCAAGATGCACACGCACTTTGTGCACTCCAGTACGGCCGCGAAAGCAACCGAGGAGTTCGCAAAGTGTATGTACTCGCATCGGAAGGGTGTACTCACGTTTGCCTCGGATCTCCAACGCCGTGCAGGCGAAATGATCGAACATCCCACAGACTACGAGATGAAGCTCCGTCTGTTCCATGGGTTGCCTGAAAATATTCGCACTCACCTGGGCGTGAACCGGAGCATCAACCCAGAGTACAACTCGTGGCTTGACATTGTCGAGAACGCACGACAGCTTGAGGAGTCCCTGAGGGTGGTTAGTTCGGCGCCGCGTACGGGAACGTATGGTGCGGCGTCCAGCACACCATCGTCAAAGGATGACCGCAGCAGTCGTGAAGGCCACAAGCCGAACCACCAGCAGGATCGCTGTGATGGAGTCCGCGGCCGAACGCAATCGCGCGACCGCAGCCACCAAAATCATGGTAACAAGTCAGTGAGCCAAGGATCACGCCGAAATTTTTCAAATAATCGACGTGATCACTCGAGCTCAAAGCGTGAGCATTCCACTGGAGCAGGAGGACGTCCATCTACTCCAGGTGTGAAAGCCGCCGAAAATGCGTGCTTTGCTTGCGGAAAGACAGGTCACTATATGCGTGATCCTGTGTGCCCCAAGTACAGCGAAACAATGAAGAGCGAGGGCCCGAAAACCACACGCTTCCACGCGCAGCGAATTGTCAGAGATGACAGCCGCAGCGAGGATGCGTGGGGTGGGTCACAATATGAGTCGGGCTCAGAATCCGATGGAGCGAAGCTCGCTCCAGAGGGGGAAGATCCAGACTCTGAAGGATCGGAAATTGTACACTCCTACGCGATGCGCACGCTTCCGAACCTCCGCTTTGGTGCCATGCGTACTACGCCGCACGCCGAATTTTCTGCGAATATTCGGCGTAAGACTAATACGCCTTCTACGGCACAGCCGGAACGATCTCCGGCAGACCAGGCGGCACTCTGTTGCCTGGTCGATATCAACGGACTTCAAGCGTACACACTGTTCGATACAGGCAGTACGACCGACGCAATCACGCCGGAATTTGTGCACACTACCCGCGCAAAACGTATTGTTCTGGACGAGCAGATTGTACTGCAACTCGGGTGCTCAGGTAGCCGATCTAAGATCAACTACGGTGCTCGAGTACCTATGAAGCTAGGACCGATTGATGCCAAAGACGTGTACTTTGACATCGTCAACCTAGATCGCTACGACTGCATCATTGGGACGCCGATTATGAATAAGTATGGCATAGAAGTGAGCTTCGCCAGCCGTACTATCAAAATCGGCGACCAGATCATTGAGGTGTTCGACTACGACCAGGACGAGAAGTACTGGGCAGGGCGTAAGACTACCTCTGCCAGACAATCGCCCCGGAAAGCGAACAAGCCTAATAGCAATTGACTATCGCTGTCAGCAACCACTACGATGCGCCCTAAAGCGACAGTCGAAGAGGTTGCAGATGACGAAGTTAATAACAAGCGAACAAACACGCTTGCGCAAGATAGTGCGTATATACTCGAGGACTTGAATGAAGAATCAGACGAGCCCCCGAGTATACATACCACTGCCGATGTGACAACAGATGAGCGTGAGGAGGAGGATGAACCCGCCGAAATTCCTCCTGCGCCACCTAGAGTTGCATACATCTATCGTGAAGACCATGAGACGCGTGATTTAGGCCGTCTTGAGCCCAAATTGAGGTCAAAACGCGCCGAAATTACGCCGGAAATTCGATTTCGGGACCGTGTCGTGTTGCACTCGGATACGGGTGTGATGCGGGACCGTTTCGGACAGCCAGATCCTTACGGTGCCAATGAGGAGCTGGAGGCGTCAGTGGTTGAGTATCTGAGAAACATGGATTCTCGACTCACCGACGCCGACGTTCCCCACCTCTGTGAGAAGTGGCAGAAGGAAACTGAGGACCTCACAGGCCCTATCCCTGCCGAACTTCCACCTTGGCGAGAAGTTAACCACCGAATTCCGCTCATTGATGAGCAGAAACGGTATAACTATCACCACCCTCGCTGTCCGGACGCGCTGAAGCAACAGCTGCGCGACAAGATGGACACCTACCTGAACGCGGGATGGTGGGAGATGAAGCCTGCTGCTCAAGCGGCTCCACTTCTCTGCATCCCGAAGAAAACCGGCAAGCTTCGTACTGTCGTTGATGCACGCCAGCGCAACGACAATACAATCAAGGACGTTACGCCGTTCCCGGACCAAGATGCGATCCGGAACGACGTTGCGTCTGCAGCTTACCGAACTAAGATTGACATGTCGGACGCGTACGAGCAAATCCGCATCGATGTCAATGACATATGGAAGACGGCGTTCTCCACCATCTATGGTACTGCCGTCTCGCACGTCATGCAGCAGGGAGACTGTAATGCGCCTAGCACATTTCAGCGCCTGATGACATGGATATTTCGCGAATATATCGGAGTTTTCGTCCATGTATACCTGGACGACATCTTCGTATTTTCGCGATCCGTCGCTGAACAT